GTTATTCGAGATCAACAACCAATTTGTACCACTGTATAGAAATATATTTTTAATTAATCCAAGCTTGGTGTCCCGAAGGTCTGCACCAGAGCAATTTGGTGTAAAAGAGCTTGTAAGGACAAAACTTGAGATAATTAGTCGGCAAAGTTTTAGTGTCCCATGCCGGCCACTAAAAGTCTTCAGTGAGATGCAGGGCACTGACAAGGCCTCTTTTTGCAAACTCTCAAAACTCAGATATTTATATAATTGCATGGTGTAAGGAAAACTGAAAAGTATAGAAAAAGTGTATCCAGTGGGAGTTTTAAACAGGCTTAACATAGAGATCAGTTTGTCTCTCATCATGGTAAGAGCCTGACTTGATGGTTAATGTGTACAATTATATACAGTGATGATTTGGCAATTATTGTGGAGTAGAGTTAAGTTAACAACATTGTTTCACAGCTACAATGCTTCCCATACTCTGATATGGTACACCTCGCCATCTACTGGCAGCAGAGAGATTTAATATGTGGAAAACAATTAAACTAGGTAATGAGGAACATGTCCAGACATGTGAATGTAAGCACACGCTAATGAACACAATTTGCCTGCAGAAATGCTTCAAACGAGTCTGTGGATGATTTATGAACTGGAAAACTGCACAGAAAATCTACCTGTGAGATCACAATCCTGGGAAGTTCAAACAGTATGTTTTCAGAGTGTTTTCTGATGCTCAAAGGCAGAGAACGTTTCACAGAGAATTATGGAAACCAGCCTGAATGACATGAAATACAACTCCAGGTATTTTTTAATGAGGAACAATATTATAACATGGTAAAAAGCTCCATAAAATCTATTTAGCATAATATGTGTTTGCACATATTATGCTAAATTACCCTAACTGTCCAAGCAAATTAAACTAAAAAACCTGGATAGTATATTTTGTTTAAATATTTAACTTTGTATTGCTGATACAAATCAAGCTGATGTGTTGTATAAAGCTGTGATTTTATATTTTATTACTTATCTTTCCATTTTATTTTGACTTTTACATGTACATTTACATTTAAATAATTATGTCTTTATTGTAACCTGTCTCTTGCTATCTTTTTTGCTACTTATTTAGAATTCATTATTACCATTTATATTTTTACTCTTTGTTATTATATTATATTGTGATGTGTGAGCTACTGTGTCCAAATAATTTCCCTTGTAGATCAATAAAGTTTGTCTAAGTCTAATGTCTAAATCTAAGTCTCGTGTGTTTACCACTTTTGACACTGCAGACATCTTTTTCTCTTCTTCCATGTCATCAGCGTATGCATGCAGCACACTGTGACTCATCTTAAACTGAAAGGCTCCAATCAGAACGCTGGGGTAGACAGCAGTGGGCAGAACATCCTTGGTTTAGAATGATACCACAGACAAGGCAATCGGGATATATTTAACTTAAATGTTGTTTTGAAAGTGTCATATGCCACATGGACAAAAAGTCTAATTTATGATTGTCTCATTCTTGACTTCATTAATGACCAACCAGCTAAGCCACTTCACAAAAACATACATTGTGCAGAAAAAGCTGAGTGTCAGAGATAATGATAAACAAATATACATAGAAAGAAATCCTTGGCATGATATACTATGAATGACCTAAAGGCACTCTACCCCTATAGTAACTTTTACAGTGTAAAAATCATTATACTCCCATCTGACCAAATGCAAGTCTCATCCCAGGGCAAATCAAGGCCCAAGGTCAGATTTTTTTCAGCTCTCAGCATGTGCCTTAAAATGTTTTATTCATAACTTCAGAGCTGTCTAACTGAATTAATAAATCATGCCGGTTCAAAATGAGACTCCAAGATAGTGAAAATACTACTCAAAACACTAAACTGGTAATTGGCTCGCTGTAGGCTGTTTAAATAGAGCTGGATTGAATTAAATGAAAAACTTCACTCAATGATTGCCTGGGTGACACTATTTCCTTAAATTACCAAAACAGGGCCACCACCATCTAATGGAATAGTGTTGTAATGATTCAGAAATGTGATACTTCATTTTCAATTCTTTCCCCCAGACCCAGTTTCTAAGCCTGTCTATCTCAATGCCCTGACCCTAGTTTTTGACCTGATAGTGAAAGAATATATTGTCAAAAAGAACATTTCCTAGCATAGCAACAATTCAAAGTGCTATTGTTTGGCATAACAGTGTGAAGGGGAAAAAAGCTTTCAAGAAGGAAAAGTCTCAATACTCAATACAGATTTTGATACCACACATAAAAACCTCTGCTTTTAGACAACAGAATGTAATTTAACCCCAAAATAAGTTATCCGTGGTTGCCAGAGCAATTAACAGTTTAAAAGGGGGATATTTTAATTCTTTGAAGTATTAACTGCTAATACATAACAGACAGATCACCATGATACCTTTTACTGTTTTGAAAATGCTATAATCGCTGAAATGTAAATGTACTGACTTGTTTTTGTCGCTCTGAGTCTCCCCTCCCTTGTCACCCTTCAGAGTGCTATCATAACACAATCAGCGAACATCCTGCTAATGAAACTACTGCACATTGCATCAGGTTAGTCAAGTTGTTGTGTACAGTTTTCTATCATGTTTTTATATATTTATGGAGAAATGCCGTGTGGGAGCATGGATGATGTAGACCTGTGGGCTGAGCATAGGACACATTATTACAGCTAATCGTAAGGTGGGTTAGACATTACTGAAATATGCATGAATGACATCTAAAACCTCTATAGGCAGGTCTTTGATGAGGGAACAATGTTAAAACATAGTAGAATGCTAAAACAACACCCTATTTTGCATAATTCCCCCTCTTTAAAGCAAAATATTACCTCTTTGGGAACGGGAAAACCTCCTCAGAAAGTTGTAAGAAGCTGAAACCCATGAATTACTATGTGGTTTTATACTAGTTATAGATCAACCATGCTAAAACTAGACAGAAAAGGCATAATTTTGAGTCTTTTTTTCAGCATTGATGCTTATTCAAATGTCTATCTAGTTTTGATACTAGATTTAGTATCAACCTGTACGTGGATATTCACAGGTTTCAGCTTTTCCATTCAAAAGATATAATATTTTGTATAGAACTGTCAGTCACTATGCCAACAGTCCTAATTTCTTGCCATTCTGAAACTCATGGATAGATTTTTCACAGTCCTACTCCAAACTGCATTTTCTTTCGCTACAATATATTTCCAGTTCTTGAAGCGAGTGACAGAGCAAATTGAAGTTAAAGGAGAAATAAAACACTGAAAGCAAAGAAAAGGGGCACGCAGCCCAAAGAGGCCAACACTGAAGGCGACTTCTTATGAGCAGATGATCAATGAGTTCAGCCCTGGTCACAAGAAAAAAATAAAAATGTAGAGCCATGGACGCAAACACTTACGACCTCTGGCTACAGCCTTGGAGAAGTGCACGAAATGAAAAAAATAACTGATGTAGCGCACAGGCCGAAGTAAAAGAGCTGAAAAATGAGATAGATGGACAAGGAAAAGGTGCCCGTAGCCTTGGACTGACTCGAGATTGGACAGTGAGGTGGAAAAAAGGTGTGGGGAAGTTGTGGGTAAAGCGTTTGAGCAGGTTTTCAATCACTTATCGTTTCCTAGACATCTGGGCATCTGGGTTTTTATGAAGCCAGCAAGGATATTCAGCGGTGGAAATCTGGTAATGAATTTGTAGTGTTGCCAGCCAGCTCCACAAACTCTCCTGGTGAAAGATTGTGTGTCTGGAATATCTCCAATTCGAGGTATTGTACAATGTTTTGGGTAAAATGGGTATTATTATGTTGTTATTTCACAAATCAATGAATGGGAGTATATGCAAATTAGCACATAACTGGCTCCTAAATGTGCTATAATTTCTTAATTCAATGAGTTGAGAAATTAGAAGGATTGACTGACAATAGCTTTTTCTCATCGTGCATTAAAAAAGTATTTTGCTGAAATTTTGTGTAGGTAGGTAACAAAGAAAATGGGGTTGATAATACAATATAGTAATATGTATTGTATGTACATGTCTTGGCTTTGTCTATTGTTGTTGGCTTGAACATTGTTCCATATCAATGCACTTTGTTTTATTGTCTGCCCCCATGAAAACAGCATTCTAAAGCAGACCAACTGTACAAAATCGACTTTTCTGAGATTTTGATCATATTATAACTGTTTCTCCTCACTTCCTTCTACTGATTCACTGATTCGTGCACGTTTGAGGAATTTTAAATCACTTAGTCTTAAGGCACCACTTTTCAGATCAACTCCCTTTTTCACCACCACCGGTACACACCCACTGCTCTGTACTTCGTTATCCAATTTCTTTCTTAATCGGTGATACGTGTAGGATTTGGCAGCTTTGCACAATCATTTTTGTACCAAAGGAAATAAACCTGCAGCTTGCTAGTGTGATGTGCAGTTATTTATCTGTGATGCCGACAACTTTGCTGTGATGACAGAAATGTCAGCTCCTATTGGACACCACCATTTTCTAACACGGAAGTCAGCAGACTTGTTTCGTTTGAATGAGTAATTTTAGATTAATATTGTGATTTAAAATGTTCAATTAAAACACAATGATCTAAGAGTGTTGTGCTTATAAAGCAAACACAAGAACAATAGGTCTTCTTTAATAATGCATCATGGATGTGCTAAAATGTGCCTGTAAATAGAAATGAGTATCATACAAAACTTGAATGGAGCATTAAAAAAAATGCAAAAAAACATCGTTTTATACCTTTGTTTCAGAGATTTCAATGGATGTTTTTGTTCATTTTTATTTTTAAACTGATATTTTTGCTGTCAATTTTAATTGTTTCATTTATAGACAAAATACCAGGTATTCAAATTTTGCAACAACACTTGGAATATTATTCAATTTTAGATATATTACCCATCCCTTATCAGTGTCTACTAAAGAGAAAGTCACATGTAGTTACTTGACACATACACACGTATGCACACACAGACTGACACAGACTTTCACTGGAGATTGCAAGGAGCACTGACCTGTGAGCACAGCCTTGGCGGAGGGTTCGGCCAGGTCCAGCGCAGACTTCCCGTCCGTGTTGCGGATGTTGGGGTCGGCTCCATGCTGCAGCAGCACTGTACAACAACAGGGCAGACACAGACAGTAGCTGAGCTCTTGTACGGACACACAAACTCCTCTGCACGCTGCCGTCCTGGTGCTCCGCGCATAACCCGCCACCACCGCTTTGCCTTGACCTCCTTCCCTGTCCACATCTGCACTGTCTTTGTCCTGTTCCTCTTCCTCCTGCTCCTCAGCACTAGCGCTGCTCCCTGCCCTGCCTGCCACGCTGCTGATGTAAACAGACATGCCAAGACAGGAGCGAGTGGCTGCGTCCGCTACACACCACAGCGGAGGAAGAGTGGAGATGTGAGCCGCTTAGATCGCATTATGATCAGGTTCAACAACAGGGAGCATAGCGGGGGGGGGATGAAAGCAAGACTACAGACTGGAGGGATGAAGCGAACGGAGCGGCAAAAAACCAGGCTGCCAGTGTTAGGAGAGACTCACGCCTCTCCGACTGACTGAGCGATGCAGAGGGAAGAGAGAGGGGAGAGAGGGAGGAGGAGAGAGAGAGAGCATAGGGGAGGGTCACAGCGAACAGGTATGAGCAGAATAACAAAGTATGCCCAAGCTCACTTCTGTACTAAATGAGCTCCGTTGAGGGCGCTAATGTCAACACGCAGGCTGTCGTCTCTCTATCAGGGAGTCTGGTACATGCAAGCTCTGAATTCAAATGGCTGCTTTAGTATGATGATAACTGGACTGAACTGAACTTTAAACTGCATGTAACCTTAAGGTGGCAGTGGACAGAGCACAATTTGATTTTAAAAAGGAAAAACAGATAATGGCGAGATACTTGACCCAATTGTTATACCAACTTTGATAACACAATGAAATAATGCACTTTTATACTGACTCTTGGGAGCTTTAAGCCATTTTATAATGTTGTTGCCTCATTCATAACATGCCCAGAGTTGTGTTTTGTTTCATTCACTCGTTTGATCTACATCTCCAGAGTTCAAAATGCTCTGGTCCACCTTATGATGTTATGTAGTGGTAGTTTTCAAGTTAACAGCTAGCTTTTACCTTTAGTTCAGTGGAGAGAGGCAATTCCAGAATGATTAGTGAAAGAGTATGGAGTTTAAAAATGCAGTGGAGCACTTCCTGCATTACCACATGACATCACAAGATGGAACAGAGTGTTTTCTGTTTAATAGATATAGAATAAGATTTTCAATCAAATTGCTTATGTTTTACAGAAATAAAACTTAAAACCACATGGCTGATTTGCATAAACTATAATCGCTGAAAAAAAAAAACAGCTCACTCCTTGTACCCTGTCAGACTAAAGAACACAACTCAGTGGAATATATGTGTTCTTCCTGTGACAGAGGAGGTGCTGCTGATGCTGAGTTTGTTCTGTGTTTCTATTGAGGTGGAGACAGTTCAAGTTAAACTTTACACGAAGCCAGGTTTAAATCCTAGCCTCCGAATTGTCGTGGTGAATTACTTTGAGGCGCACAGACCTCGACGCAGACCCATAAATCAAAAACGATGGTGCCCAGGCGACGCAGGTAGTGCACACTGTGTTGACGTAGAACTAAACTTTTGCCCTTAAAATTTGGCGTTAGGAGCACTCCAAAAAACGCAGCTTTGATGCTCCGAAAATCCTGGTGTCTGAGATTATGATTTTCGGTCCAAAACGATAGATCTTTCAGTCCTAACCTAAATATGAAGGTTTTGTGTGTTAAACGTATGAATGAAACAAAACACAACTCCAGGTGAGTCTGTGATGAGGAGCAACATTATAACAGATTAGAAAAGAGAGTAATATGGTCCCTTTAATGAATATAAGATGCAGTCATGCACTAGTAATATACATATGGCCTGTAAAATATGGGCAGACAACAGAGCTAAGAAGGAAAAATAGCAAATTGTGAGTTTTCTGACAAGCAAATTGAATATTTTGTTGTTTTACTAGTGGGCAATATGGCTAAAAAAGATTTATAATGATTTTCTTGAAGCCAGACGACAATTTAGATTTCATTGCGATTTATGAAGGCTTAGTATCTTTTCAATTCACAGGTAACTAAAGTCATCTTCTTCATTTGAAAGTCACACTGCATCGCAGTTGGTTAAATCCACTTAGTCGCTCACTCAGGGCAATGCTAAGGTTGACCAAAAGAAGTTGTGGTGTTAGTTTGAGCATAGAGGTTAAGAGAAAATTTGATATGATCACAATATGACAATAGCTCTATAAAATATCACAGGAATTAAATCTTGATTCCATTTTCAATTTCACCACCATGTCCAGTACTGTTACAATATTGTTTAGCTTTAACGTATCTGCTATTCTAATCAAACTAATGTAATAATTTTAATCTCTGCTGTTTATCTATGTTTTCCCTTCAGCTACCTGCTCTGTTTGGTGGAGAGAAGAGGACACATTGGTATGCAAAGTGTATAGTGCGAGAGTGCTTCAGATCGGACGCTGACGCACACAAACTCCTCACTCCAGCTAACATCACCATAAAAAAAGAAAAACAGCTCGGCCACATCCCTATCTGAAATACTAACAGTTCGTAAATAACCAAGTTTTAAAGTGCTGGAGGGGTTTCAGCAAGTTCATTGTAAAACTTTCTAGACCTTTTAAATGGCCATCATAACTTAGGTTCCATTTCACAACATAGAAAAGGAACACTTTCCTGCATAGGACCCATGAATAAAATTGCTTTGGAAAATGAGAAAACTGTTCTATATGGGAATAGTAATGATTAGGGCTGTAGTCTAATAAAGAAATTATTGGTCGATCAAAGACATGTCCTGCCATATGATTAAGTGACTAAAAAAGGGGCGTGTGCATCTCTATATATCTGACCCAAAGTGCACTCACAAGACTAACTGGGTTTGGCACTGGGGTTTATGCAAAAATCTCAATTTATGCAGAAAAAAGCAGTTGCTAATAGGATTTTTTGACTAGGGAGGAAACAATGTATTTGTACAAAGACAGATATTTGACAGACATTTGTGAATTATTGTTTAAGCTGCCTTTTAACATATAAATACCAAAAATACTAAATCTTCAGCTAAATCTTGAACTTATCCTTTTTGGTCTTGTCACATATAAATCCTTATAATCTAAACAAAATAATTACTTGACTAATGAATATTTTGGTCAACTAAGATGCCATAATCCAATTAATAGACTAAAATAGTAAAGGACTACAGACCTATAGTGATTATACATGTACGTGTCTGTTAAACTACACTTGTCAACACTACAAGGACAAAAGAATTGGAACATATAGTAGTAGTACTACAGAAATACAAAATGAGCAGATAACTTTGATTATTTCTCTTTTATGAAATATTCTCCAATACTGTAATCTCATTTTGCGTTTTGCACTATGTTATGTCAAAGAAAAATTAAGTATTAAAAGATGTTTTCAAGAAATTCACTAGCCAAAATCTAGTAACAGTTTTACAATTTATTCCTTGTGAATTTCACTGGCATTTGTTGTTTTGACTCATCTTCATCATTGCAATAGTGACACTGATGATAAAAAACACAAGATTATCAAATTATTTTGAAATTTAAACTGGTATACTGATACAAACTTTTAGTATGTCAATTAACTTTTTAACCTCTGAGCCAACTGTTGGGCAGTCTCTCTCTCAGATCCTCTTATTTGAAGGTTGTTTATGTGATGCTTTCCTGACTTTGAGCTCTAAAACTGGGGCTTGGTAATGAAAGATTAATTTCTTCCGGAAGCTTGCGGGGGCAGCAGAGCGAGGGGCCACATGTTTAGTTACACTCAGTGGATTTAGGGATGATTTGGCTCCTCTTCCTGTCAGATTTGCCTCTAAATCCTAAACCTGGAAGGATGACAGGGGGCACTCGGCGACCATGTGACTTCTAATGCTTTGTTAGGACAACAGGGATAAGAAAATTTAAGACGTGATGAGACACAAGATACCCAATCTTGTGTCTCATCACATCTTATATTTTTACCAATCATGAGACAAGATGAGATTTTTATATAATGATGCATTTCAGTTCCCAATTTCAGCCTCACTTTTTTTTTTTTATATCATTGTTGTAATTAAAGATTTTTTTTTTAACTAATGCTTGTAAAAAAGTCAATGCTCTTGTGGTACAATATCACTATAAAAAAAAAAATCATCTGGACTATAATAAAATGCTTCTCCACAGGAGGCTTGACTGCATTTAAACATCCATTAAGAAAGTAGCTCTAGTCTGTTCACTGCTCTGCCATAAAGCGCACTGTGTCACCTTCAAAACTGAATACACTATTTTAGGTAAATGTGGTCCTATCTGGAAACCAATCCACTCTGTACAGTTTTGACAAAGTACTGCCTAACAATATAGTTATGCTTTATCTCCTCACGCAGTCAGGCCATAACTTAGAGTGCTTTCTTCATTCTGTGAGAATACAATTGGTGAACACTGTGAAAGAACAATGACGCAAATGTGCAGCAAATGGGCCAAAAGCGTACAGAGCCAAAAAAAATCATTCTAGCAGTGACAGCTAAAACAGTCATGTAAGGGCATCTGACTTTCCAATGTTATTCCCCAATTACCTAATGCATTTCTAGCATCCTAAATAATATATGTAACAGCAAGCATTTTTTACATGAAAAAGACACTTGAACAGCATTTTGTTGAATGACAACCATATGGAAGCAACAGCCTGTTCTGAGGCAGTGGTTCCTCCAACATGGCTCCAGAGAAGTGGGTAAGTAACAGTTAGTTATTACAACAAACATGGCAGTTTACATGTACACGCACCAAACAATTTATCTCCGGTATAACAAGTTACATGAATTTTGCAGAGGAGATGTCTTCCACTTTTGAGGGAAATGTACAACAGATTAGCAGTTCTACTTAGGACGGAGAATTTTCACCCACTATTGTCAGTTTCTAATCTTTTCTGGATTCGAACAGAATGTAGAAGGGACTGGCTGGTCAGGCAAGTAAAATAGGCTAATGTTTACATATGTAATCATTTGAACCACTAGATGGGAGTCATGAGCAACTGTCAAATTACTGTACTCCTGCTATGTTTTGTTTCTATTGTTCAAAAATGTGTAGTCATAGTGATGCTAAAGATGAGACGAGACGGGACGAGATGGGATGCTAACAAATTTTAAATAAAACTGTACATTAATAAGACAAGGTATGTCTAGCTAGAACTCCCCCACTGAGTGCAGCATACCTCTTTGAATATCTGAGATGCGAGACCTGTCTTGGTAAATTTTATTCAGTTAAAATAAAAAAGGGAATAAATGGTGCACTCACTTAAGATCCTCTATAGTTCATGAAAACACTTTTATACTTTTATCCTCCTTCCTTCTCTTTGAGCTCTGAACCTCTACAAACACTCAGCCATTCAAAATTCCAGGTGACACAGATGATCCAACAAGTCACATCTCACATGCTTTTTGTGCTGCCACCCAGGAGTGCCTCAGATATTTCTTTCTATGGAGGAGGAGGCTGCAGCTGCCCTCTCTCAACTCAAACCACACGGATGTTTCACTTAAATTAAAATCGGGTTGGTGGAGGGGTCACACGTTGGAGGAGAAAGCAATAAATGTTTTGGAGTCGCAAAAATGACTCGTGTAACAGGATTTGTGAACTGAAGTCATTTTCTTCACTCCTAATGGAAAATAATACAATACAGAGCACACTAGGTTTTGCACTTTGACAATGACAGCAGAAGGAAGGAAACACGGAAAAATAAATAAAAACAGCCATTTAGCAACAGGACCAATAGGCTAATATATTCACGCATCCATAATGAACATTAATTGCAGTAATGGCCAGAACGAATGCAGTGAGGGTTTAGAATACATGCAAGCAACTCCAGGGATTCAACTATCAGAATCTAGCACAAATATATGCAGATTTTTAGATTATTACTGAATCACATTACAACATTCTGTAAGCCATTAATATGTAAAAGGTCCCATATTACACAAAATTTATTTTTATGAGCTTTCAGCCATAATGGTGTTACCTCATCAAAAACATGCCTGGAGTTGTGTTTTGTTTCATTCACACATGTTTAAGTAGTCCTGTATTATTAGTCTGTCTACATCTTCAAAGTTACAAATGCTCTGTTCCACCTTGCGATGTCATGTAGTGGTAGTTTTCAAGTCAACAGCCACCTTTTTGTTCAGTAGAGATTGGCAATTCCAGAGTTTAAATGATCCATATTGATCACAAGATAGAACACAGTGTTTTTAGCTTGAAAGAAAAACATGTGTGAATGAAACAAAACACAACTCTGGATATGTTTTATGATGAGGAAACAACATTATAACGTAAAAAATTGTGAAATGGGCAGCTAAAATTATGTATAATTATGTATAATTATGTGTAATTATTTTGTTAAAATCCAGATCAGATTTTTGTTGAAATGTGGTGAGTTCAAGGGTCTGGTCATTAACATAAAAGATCAGGTTTAACTTAACGCTTTGGATATTTCATAGCAAAGTATAATGTAATCAAAGCAATAGTTATATAACAGCTCTTGCCGCAGTATGACATCAACACGTTCTAAAATTTAAAAACCACCAATAACATTGTTAAAAGCTCACTAAAGTCCATTTTGTATAATGTTCAAGTACACGTCCAGGTCTGTGTATTGCACTCACCAATGCAGACGTCTATCTTGCCCTTAATGGCCGCCTCGTGTAGTGGAGTGTAGTTCCAGTTGTCTCTGGCATTGGGGTCAGCACCCTGACACAGCAACAAGGACACCACCTGACAAGCATAGAGCATATGAGCCTCACCTGCTGTTGGTCTGCTCACTCCCACAAAAAAACAAATAAGGCACTGGAAAATGGGCTGGTGGTGTCAAATTTAACTGCTATAACTACTACAACAATCACATTTATTAATAGTGATCTATAATGTGGCCGCTTTAATTAGACTAAGGCTACATAATATATACTATTCTAACCATGATTATGGTGTAACTATTTGTACTATGGTGTAACTATTTTTTTTTTCATTGCTAATGTTGATTGTTTAGAATCTTGAAAAACCTATGGCTGATAAACTCTACTGATATTTTTGGGGCCAATATGTAGGGTCAGTTTTAATTATTTTCCCCAAATGATCTCATTTAAATTAACTACAAACTCACTCACAGCCATTTTCCACCTACAAACCTAGAAGAGAGTTGTGTAGTCACATTTTGTGAGGTTATCTCTTTGCACTTGTGTGTAAGTGTTCAAATCAAGCATTAATAATAATAATAATAATAATAATAATAATAATAATAATAATAATTATTATTATTATTATTATATATTGTAATACAGTCTTACCTCGGAGTGTCCAAAGGAGCAGGCATTATGAAGAGGGATGAGGCCTCCATCGTCCCGAGCGTGTACATTAGCCCCTGTCTGAAGTAGGTGGTCCACTACATCTTTTCTCCCGAAGCCTAGGATGAAAGTAATCAAAGAATCAAGGGCTATGTGAGGACAATAAACATGAACAAAAGGCTAAATAAAGCCATAGATTTATATGTATCAAAAATACATGTCATCTGAACCCCGACTGTCAGGAAATGCCATGTGAGAAGGTGAACCCAGAATGTTTTAAGGGATAAGACTTTATTAGGCTAATGTCACTGTTAATTAAGTAGACCTAATTGGGCCAACAGCTATTTGTGTCTGTCCAGCACAACACAATCATATTTTTGTAATGTTTAGTTTGCCTGAAAATCATCATAAATCAGGTTCAAACGTCCATCCCCATTTTTCACTGTTGTATAGTGAGTGTAGAGCAAATGACAGGCTGGACCTGTAGGTTTATCACAAAAGCAGACCTTTACACACAGAAAGGTAAAGCTCTTGTGTTCAGCTCACCAGCTGCAAAGTGCAGAGGAGTGGATTTACGTCCTGCCATGTCTTTGGCGTTCACGTTCACTGCATCTACCAGCTTCTTCACCCTGGACACGTCCCCGTTCCGACAGGCTTCAAACAGCTCCCGAAAAGCCCCATTAGCACCGGCACCACTGGCCCCGCTGCTCCCCGCGGCACCGCTGCCTGAGTCCGGGGAGGACACGGCGCTGGTCGCGCTGCTCTCGGTGGTACTGGGGGAGCTAGCGCTGCTGCTAGTGCTGCTCACGGTGCTGCTACTGAAGCTGCTGCTGGAGAGGGCCAGCGCGGGGCTGCTGGGAGAGGCCGGGCTCACTTCACCGTCCGCCCGGTTATCCACTGCTCCCTGTGCGCCTGAGCCAGCATGATCGGCTGCTGGCGTCGGGGAGACCGGAGGAGTGACCGGGAGAGAGGTGCTGCGGGACGGGGTTGACAGCCCCAGATTTGGCTGCTGCTGCTGAGAAGAGCGACGAGGCGTCGCCATTTCCACAACACAACAGTCCCACTGGCAACAACAACACTGACAGCTTCCTGCGCGCTGGGGACACTTCCGCTCCAGCTACCTCATGCGCACAGATGATGCTCTGCCTCTGCTCCATCCATCGCAGTCAGATTACAGGTAGCCTGTCATCCATTAGCCTGGAGTATACTACAGAATCACACACGCTCATAACAAAATTTGCCTGATTGTAGTGGCATCCTTTATTTGGTTTATGGAAGGTAGGCCAATCGTTTCTGTCTAGAAAGTCACCCTACAATTTAATGTCCAAACATGAAATCGCCTTTTTCCTAATAACAGAATAGCGATTTTTCAGCACTGATCATACCCAGCCAATGCTACAGCCTTTTTTGCTTTATGTAGTCACAATTGATAATGTGAGATCGAAGATCAGAGATTAGCCTGAATGAATGTGAGAGAGGCTGATAAAACGAACCGCTTTGATTAGACGTTCAGTGGAACAACGCCCCCGTTAGAAGACTTTCAAGCGGCAGAAATAAAATTCATACAATGAATTATGTGTAATACATCCATGAATAAAATGCAACCAATACATTTCTTGTTCTTCCTCTGCACAGTATTTTTATATAGGCCCATTTAATAAGTGAACCTAATGATCCAAGAATTTTACACCTAACTGTCTAACAATTACTCAGATTCATATAGTCTATGCAAAATACAATTTGGGGCTTTTTACACATAATTATATTATTATTATTATTATTATTATTATTATTATTATTATTATTATTATTATTATTATTGGAAGTTAAGTGCATTAAAAGGTTTTGATATATCTGTAAATGTTTTCCTATTCACTTGCAGTGTCTTGCCTTGAGTGAAAAAAGGACTGACCCCATCTCTCTCTGAGTCTACTCTCGGAGAAAGAGGAGGTATGGATTTAACTCTTGCATGTCTTCCATTGTGGGGCAGTGCTATCCATTAGGCCAGTGTTATTCAACCTTTTTTGGGTCCTGACACATTTGTGTTCCATCCGCTAAAAGATTATCAAATTACTCTCATTTTATAACAGCGCCAATAATGACAGTCTCCAAGTCTCCAAAATACCTTTGTTTTTGAGTTCCAGAGTTTGGTAACCAAATAAACAGTGAAACAGCGCCCTCCTTTGGTAATACTCGAGAATGAACGCACACAGGTCTGCAGAATACTGCAACGTTCATTTGTATGTTGCATTTTTATCAGAGCTAATAGTATAAAACTGTGTCTAAAATAACTCATCTTTTGGAATTGTCAAAACATGAAGGAATCATGCATTTATAATCCATAATTCCAGACAAACTAAAAGATATGCTTAAGCAAATTATGCAGTAGTGCATGGGGGACTTGAACCCTCCACCATGCTTGCAGTGCATAGGTTTTCTAAAGACAGTATCACTGACACTATTACTATTACTTTTACTGACTTTTATGTGGTTAAACACTTAATAATTACACATCTTCCAATACTATCCAGACTAAAAACAATAAATGTAAGTTATTATTGTATAATAATTAAGCATATTGTATAACATTAAGCATAATTAAACAAAATTTAGTTAAAGTCAGTAGTTGCAGAGATATCCACAAGAGTTTTGGTATTATGATTTACACTGATAGACCTATGCTTGTGCTTGTATAGAAGAGAAAAAATGGATCTTCAAGTCTGAAGAAGGGAGTGACCTGAAACGTCACATTGTGTTGTTATTATGATAAAAACTTTTTTTTGTTTGTTTGTTTTTTTTTTTTTAATCGGATGTGCCTGTCTCTATTTACCAGTTTGTATAGGTCTAAAGGTTTCTCTGGTGTTCACAGTGCTCTTGCTGCCGAAGACATGATTTCACTATAGCCCTACGTCATGTGCAGAGTATGCAAAGCCGGGTTGGGTTGGTTTACATTTCCCGCATAGTTTCTCTTGCAGTTCCTTGCGTATTGTGTCAAAGCTTATAATGAGAAAAATGACTTGAACTAAATAAACCCACTGACCATTATCGGCTTTCACTGAAACTTAAATGTGAACCAGAAAAAATACTGAAAATGATTGAAACGTTTTTGGATGTGTAAGGTTATTTCTCCATGCTGATAGTGGTCACTCTCAGTGGGCAATAGCTTAAGCCCATCATGGAAGAACTTAAGCAAACCTAATTGGAGATGGTTCATGCTTTTCAAAAGTCCTGTGAAGGCAACAGCCCTGAAACTGTTTCACTGCTGAATCTTATTTGCAAAGTTTCGTTTAAAGAAGACATGTTATTGTTTTGTAAGGTACTTGAACTATGGTTTGAGTAGGTTATCATTTTACTTTTGTTCTAAAATGGCTTAATAATAGAAATTGGACTTTTGAATTTCTGTTCAAAATGGAGATCTGATTCTGAACCCTATGTATTTATTTTGCAAATGATCACAACCAAGTACCAAAATGTGAGCGGAAACAGGATTTTTCAGAGCAGTCAAGCCTCAAATGCAGGACAATACAGGATTACTCAAACATGCATGAACCAATCAAAATACAAATGTGAGTAAACTAAATGTGAAGAGAGCTGTTATAACAAGATTTAAGTTTGGTTTTGCATAATATTTCCTCTTTTAAGAATTGAGCCCAATGCTTATTACTTAGACTCACAACAGCATGCATCCTTTTGACCTAAATAAAAATATGTTAACATTTTTGTAGATGTATCTCAGTGTTAGGAGAAAATTGGGAGAAGCCATATATAGTTTACAGACTGAATAAGGCATTTGGGTGTAACTTGTATGTCGCTGTGCACCTGATATTATTAATAAACACATTTTTTAAAAAGCCTAGCTGAGATGAGATGACCTGGATAGGTGCAGGTTAATTATGATCATTCAAACTTGAGAATCACCTTTTACCCCATTGTACAAGCTAGAGAGGAAACCCTGAGGAAATTATGTAGATTTAAAGATAGCTGCATTCCAGATCTAACCAAAGCCGTTCCCAAAAATACACTCCGATACGATCAGTCTGAGAAACATTTATTATAAAACACACTGTCTAACATTGGCACGTGTAAGACAATAAGACGTGACTGTCAGTTAGAATAATGGAAAGAATTTGGGCAAGTCCAGCTGAGCTACCGTGAGTTATTTCATGAATTTCCCAAAAGAATGAATAAAATTGTATACTAATTATTACCACAACAAATAATAAGATAAAAGGGTAACACTTTATAATAGGTTCACTTTTATTAGCCTTAATAAAGCACAAAAACAACTTCAATTCATAATGAACAATTATTATCAAAAATGATTCAGGTTTAACTCCTTAATTATATGTTTGAGGTTAGGGTATTAATAATTCAGTGGCTCTATGTAACTTTTCAGATGTGTGGTCTGTCAACTGTGTGTCTCCATGGAGATGTTAATGCTTTCCCTGGAATGTTCCACAGTATAGGATTAAGCTTATCTATGTTCATAGAGACAAGCAGGTGATGGCATCAGCTCATGTCTGTGGAGAGGTGACCCCACTGACAGTAAGAATATACATTTTTGCTATGTATTTTTGAGCAATGAAAATACATCTATTGAATAAATACATGATAGATAAGTTTAATTCCATACTGTGGAACATTGCAGTGAGTTATGCAAGTATCAAAGTCTTCATCAGGAAAGTTACATAAGTTACACCTTTAAGATGGATAGTATTCTTATTTTGCATTGACTGTGATGTTGTCGAAACCTCCACTCCTCTCTCTCTCCCTCTCTCCCTCCCTCTCTCTCTCGCTCTCTTTCTCTCTCCCTCTCTCTCTCTCCCTACCTCTTTCTCTTTCTCTAGACTGCTTCACGTGCAGTTCAGGTATGACACACCTGTCCTATTTGGGGACTGAGACAGACGTAGTTCCACACCCCCTTTCCAGGTTTCAGTCAGACTTGTTTGCTGGCACCAGTCTGGTCAGAACGGACACTCTGGCAGTGACATTAAGACGGGCAGCATGTCAAACCGTGGTAAGCAGGAATGGATCCGGGAGTCTATGCGCACTCCTGGCATCCTCATCTTTGGCATGGTTCTGGCTCCTTGTGGGCTGATTCTGAACCTCACCTCCACCGTCGCTCCAAATTGGCGAACTCTCCACAACCTTCCCAACAGCGCCTCTGGATTCACCGTCATGCAGGGCATCTGGGACATCTGCACCACCACCTCCTCCAGTTCCTATAATTACAACTGTGGGCAAGAGGACTCTGCTTACTTCGGCCACCAGGTCATAGAGGTCGCACAGGGGATGATGGTGGCTTCCCTGATTGTCACGCTTGTAGGTTTGATTGTGGCTATCCCTGGAGTTCGTTGCTGGAAGAACAACCCCAACTGGACGGTCGCGGGTTTGGCGGGACTGCTCATCTTTATCTCTGGAGTCTTGACCATCATTCCCATCGCTTGGTACACGCATATCCTGGAAGAAGTCACCTCAGTGCCCCCAAGCGTCACAGTACAAGTGGGTTACTGCATCATCTTGGGGTACATAGGCGGGATCATGGAGGTGCTGGCCGGGTTGGTCATGTTTATAGGCATATGCAGGTGCTGTGGGGGGAAGAACAGAGGCGAGGTACGAGTGGAGCAACCCCAACAAGTGAGCCGAGCGGAGAGGCCGAAACCTGCACCGAGGCGAACACAGCCCCCCAGTCTGAGCAGGCCGCGGAGTGAGCTCAGTAGCGTGGCGTACTCCAGTAACTATGATGATGTGTCCATTCCCAGAGCCAAGACCACAGCCTGGTCAGTGGACAGTGGAGTGAACCGCAAACCCTATGACGCTGACCTGTGATGGGACAATAATGGACAGGAGTGGACAGACTGAGAAGACATGAAGCACTTTGATTTTTGTGGTTGTAAAGGGTGTCTTATCTACCTGCTATTTATGAGTGCAGATTTTAAAGGTGCACAATATAACTTTTCTGGTGGAGGGTCAGTCGACTGCTTTCCTCAAGAATGTTATTACTTTGTGTTGAAATGTTCCACAGTATTTTTAATTTAAATGAATTTGGGCTTGGTGAAAAAACTCCTTCATATTAATGGATTTAGATTTGTGATTCAAATTCAAAATTTCATTCAAAAATATAAAAATGGGATTTAGCACTGAATTTATGAACATAAACAACATAGGATTTTAATTAGTGCTATTTAACACATAAAATACTACTAATACTAATAACTAATTTGTTCCTCGATAGTCTGAACCCTACCCCAAACCAAATTCTTTTACTGACTGAGGACTGGCTGTAGATCTCTCTTTCTTAATCTCCATCTCTCAATTAATTTCCCAGCCCTACAATGAATACTTGGTGCTTCGTGATCTCTATGGTTTATTGCCATTTTGCTTAACGTTCCAGGCAAGACAATAATCTCTCCATGAAAAATAGAAGGTTTTAGACCCTCCCGACAAAAACTTATATTGGGCCCCTTTCAAATAATATTAAGTTTCTATTTATATATAAAAATATAAATATATATATATATATAAATATCTATATTTAACTTATGTGTGAATAAATACTGTTGTATAAAAGGATGTTGTTTTTGTTAGAGGAGTTGGTTAAAGTTCATCAATTATAGTGGCTAATAAAAGAGCCTTTATCCAGAAAGATTAGTCATAACAATACAATGTCATGTCAGGTTGGTCAGCATACCTCTCATCGCTCTTCTAACCGTCCTCCATTCAAAACAAAAGATTTCATATTTTGAACTGTGCAGTAAGTTAAAGGAGGGAAATAGATTGAGTAAATGAGTTCTAATGCTAATTCATCTTAGAAGCACAATGGTATTTAAATGAGCTTAACAATAGGCCATCAGGGGCTCTGGGTGAAACTATTTTTTGAAGAAGTTTGATTGCTTTTGTGAAGACCATGAGCTGCTGAGAGAGAGAAACTGTATTAATGCATATTACCTATGAACTGACACAAAACGTATAGTTCTTCATTTTACATTAGGTCATAAAAGTGTTTTACCATTGTAACAACAATATTATGTGTATTATCTTAATTAGATGATAGAGAGGCTATTTGTGAAGACTATTTTGCATGTTTGTTGCAAAATATATAACATAACATTTATGATCAGGACTGAATGTTGCAGAGAATGTTAATGGGTGATTAGAGTCTGAAAAAGTAAGATCTAGTTCAAAGAAACGCTTAAAACTAGGCTACATCAATTATGATAATTAAATATCTGCTGTGTCATCAATCAGTTGTCCACCCAAGTGAATAAAAGAGTTATAATAAAGTAGGAATTCCAGCGCGACTGCATTCCTGACAGCTTTAACTGAAAACCAACGTGACATTTGTTTTAAAAACAAAACCGCAAATGGTCACAAAAGCCGCTGTTATTAGAGCCAAATATAGATCCACATTTGTAAGGCTATAATTGAGATTTACATGAACTAGATGTTTGATTGAAACTATCGTCTCACACTCTGTGTTATCGTGCGTTCTGTGTGACACACCTGTCCTATTTGGGGACTGAGAAAGAGGTAAAGCCACGCCCCCTGTTCCAGGTTTCAGTCAGACTTGTTTTTTTAGGCAGTACCTGTCAAAAAGCTCCGGACTGGGGACAAAACGGACACATTCACGGAGGCAGTAGTGGTGGAAATCGTGAGTGAAGCAGCAACATGCCGAACCGCCGTGTGCAGGACTGGATCCGCATGTCTCAGCGGACTCCGGGCATCCTCATCTTCGGCATGGTCCTGTCTCCATGCGGTTGGATTCTGGACCTCACCTCCACCGTGGCTCCAAACTGGCGGACGCTCCATGGCTTCACCAACCAGCCGTCAGATTACGTCCTCATGCAGGGGATCTGGGACATCTGCTCCTCCACTACGTCCTCAACCAGAAACGACTGCGGCCAACCAGACACACTGTATTACAAAAATCAGATTATTGAAGTAGCGCAGGGGTTGATGGTGGCCTCCCTGGTGGTCACGCTCATAGGTTTGGCCGTGGCTATCCCTGGGGTTCGCTGCTGGAAAAGCACCCCCAACTGGACAGCTGCAGGCCTGGGAGGACTGCTCATCTTCTGCTCCGGAGTCATGACCATCATTCCCATCTCTTGGTACACGCACATCCTGACGGAACTCAACACGACCACTCCTGCACCTGACATCCGCGTGGGTTACTGCATCGTCCTGGGGTACATCGGCGGTATTTTCGAAGTATTGGCGGGTTTCGTCATGTTTATAGGCATATGCCGCTGCTGCAAGGGCAAAAACAGAGGCGAGATTCGAATGGACCGAGCCGTGGCCAAGTTCAACCATCAAAAAGATCCTCCCAGACGCATGGACGTGCCGAGCCTGAGCCGTCCGCGCAGCGAGGCCAGCAGCGTGCCCTCCAAAGAGTCCATGGATGACGACGTCTCTTTCCCCAGAGCCAAGAGCGTGGCCCCGTCCGTCAACACGCTGGACAGTCGTGGCAGGCCATATGATGCAGACCTTTAAATGGGCACAAAAGGAGCGTTTTATCCAGATGGGTACAGAAGGACTTGGAAAATAGTAACAATGGTAACAATGTCAGTCATTCATTATTGTGTTGCATTTGACTGGTTGGTGAAATGTGGTTTGACCCATGCTGCAAAGCACGTATTAGGCCTATTATGAACTAAAATGTTGTTTATTTTGACTGCCAGTTTAATGCTATGCAATGTGCCAGAAAAGTCCAGTATACAAAAGCATAAGATCAACGTGTTTTAGAAAACTTTTACTTTGAAGGAGTGTTTTTCAAATTAAAATGAAGGCATTGATGATGATGTTTCTGCCAAATGGCGTTTTATACTGAGAATTTGTTAATAGTATTTCTTATATGGAATCTTGCCAAAAATATTGATTTGTACATATTTTTGTATGCACTTTAATGGTTGGGCCACTTTAAATGTTGCTTTGTGATAAAAGTGCTGTTAAATAAATGTGCACTGTTTTGAAAGTAGTCCTCTGTCCACTTTTCTTGTGCCAAATACAGGGGTACATTATAATCAAAGCTTAAATTAGTTTCAAATGTTTCGTCTTTGCTTGCTTGCTCTAGTTTTGATTCTCAGTACAGATGGGATGTTCAGTGACAGGTGTCTAATGTAAAAGTTGTTGGACCAGTTGGAGAGGTTGACTTTTTTTTTTTTAACAATCAAACTTACCTGTCAAACAACATTTCCTTCTTTGTTTTAACTGGCTTTGCAAGTCACAAATGACAACATGGTGGCATGACTTGCAAGTCCTAAATATAGTTTAGTGTAACTTACAACTTTGTGTCTTAAAAATGGCAAAGTGTGGGTCCACATGTGTTGAGCCTGTATAACCACCAACCAGTGTTACCTGAGAAAGGCCTATGTATTTGCAGAGATGTAAGCAAAACGAGTTGAACAAATATTGAATCAAGTGGGTGAAGTGCATGGGATGAGGAAGTCTTGGAATTTATGAAACTTCACGTGATGACTCATTCAGTTCCCATGAAAAGAATTTGAAAATTATACATTAGACTAGCTGCTTTTTTTTTTTTAATATAAGTTACTCTCTTCCTGTCGCAACCAGAAACTTTTCCAGCAATAAACAACAATGCTTGCAAAATATGCATATACCGATCTGTTGAAATGGGCTGCCCTGTTGAAATGAGCTACCTTATGTTTTCCATTTACATTTGTATAGATCCAATAAAGCTAACCTCTCCAGTTTTACAACATATTTTTTTGGTTTAGAGACAGCGTGTTTTATGCTGTTTGCACGCGGTGATCAAACTTTATATTTTAGTTATATAAAATTTCAACTCATTAAATGAATATGCGTAGATCATTTCGACAGTCGTATTATGCTATCAAATAGGGACCACAATGGCTCTATAATAATAATAAAAAAAAAACCTTTTTACTATTATTATTTTTTTATTGTTTAATTTTTATTTTATTATAGTTCTATGGGTAGCACATATAACAGGCCAATTTAGCCATCGAATAATGTTCCCGCTGCAGAATCTAGAATTTATTCATCCATCTATCCATTTTCGTCCGCTTATCCGGGGCCGGGTCGCGGGGGCAGCAGCCTAAGCAGGGACTCCCAGACTTCCTTCACCCCAGACACGTCCTCCAGCTCCTCCGGGGGGACCCCGAGGTGTTCCCAGGCCAGCCCAGAGACATAGTCCCTCCAGCGTGTCCTGGGTCTTCCCCGGGGCCTCCTCCCGGTGGGACATGCCCAGAACACCTCCCGAGGGAGGCGCCCAGGAGGCATCCAGAACAGATGCACGAGCCACCTCAACTGGCTCCTCTCGATGAGGAGGAGCAGCGGCTCTACTCCGAGCTCCTCCCGTGTGACTGAGCTCCTCAATTTATATTTAGAATTTATTCATTTAGATGAATTTGGGTAGAGGTAGCTCATTTCTACAGGCCTATATCTTCTATCAAATAAGGCTTTCACTGAAGATAGCACATTCTGACAGCCCAATTGAACCATCAAATAATGCTCCCACTGTGGAATCACCATTATTTACTCATTTACAGTACTGTGCAAAAGTTATAGGCAGTGGTGAAAAAATGCTGTAAACTAGGAATGCCTTCAAAAATGGAAACGTTAATCTTTTATTTTCATCAATCAACAAAATGCAGTGAATGAAAAAGAGAAATCTATATCAAATCAATATTTGGTGTGACCAGCCTTTGCCTTCAAAAGAGCAAAAATTCTTCTAGGTATACTTGCATGCAGCTTTTGAAGGAACTTGGCTGGTAGGTTGTTCCAAACATCTTGATCTACCCAAACTACAAGCACAGTCTTTTAACCCTTCACCTGAAGTGAAAAACCTGGGCGTCATTTTTGACTCTGAGCTGACTTTTATTCCACACATTAAGAACATTACAAAAATTGGTTTCTATCACCTAAAAAACATAGCCAGAGTCCGCCCCATTCTCTCTCTGGCCAACACAGAGACGCTGATGCATGCTTTTATCACCAGTCGAATAGACTACTGTAATGCCCTGCTCTCTGGTCTTCCCAAAAAGAGTATTTCGGGTTTGCAATTATTACAAAATTCAGCAGCACGTGTCCTGACGAGGACCAGAGGGCGGGACCACATTACACCGGTTTTAAAATCACTGCATTGGCTCCCTGTGAGTTTCAGGATCGATTTTAAAGTTCTTTTACTGGTTTTTAAATGTCTTAATGGTCTTGGGCCTTCTTATCTTTCAGAACTGCTTTTACCCTACGAACCCTCGCGGACCCTGCGCTCCTCCGGCAGCAGGCTCCTGCTCATTCCCAAAGTCAGGACACACACTCACGGAGAGGCGTCTTTTCAGTATTATGGTCCCCGTCTATGGAACTGCCTGCCGGAGGAGCTCAGGGCTGCAGAGAACGTTCATGTTTTTAAGAGCAGGCTCAAGACCCACTTTTTTAGCTTAGCTTTTGATTAAATTCTTATACTTTTACCTGTTTCTATTCTACACATTTTAGTATATTTATTTATTTTAGGCATATTTTTTTAGGATTTCCAGTGTTTCCTCTGTAGGAGCCCTCTGCATCGGGAGCGGAGGTCGGCTGTGGCTGCCGGGTTCTGTCCCGTGGGCTCCTGGTGGAGAGTTGGTGCTTAGGCTTCATCTCTCCCCTGGCTCCGGTGGTGGTTCCTGGTGGTGGTGGACGTCTCTCTGCTCCTGGTGTAGACGGCTCCTCTGATGGTGCTTTCTCAACTGGTTCGCCTGTACTCAGCCTCACATTTTACTATAGGGGATTTTATGTATTTTACTATCTTAGGGTGTGTGTGCGCGTGCGTGCGTGTGTGCTTGTGTGTGTGCGTATGTGTGCGAGTGGGTGTGTGTGTCTGGGTTGTTTGGTTGTGTGGAGTTGGGCAGGTGTGGGGTTGGATAAGTGGGTGGGTGGATGGAAATGTGGGATTGTTGTTAATCACTGTAAAGCACTTTGTGTTACGTTTTTGTATGAAAAGCGCTTTATAAATAAAGTTTGATTGATTGATTGAAGTACCAACTGCAGATCTTCTGTGGATGTAGGCTTCCTCACATCCTTCTGTCTCTTCGTGTAATCCCAGACACACTCGATGATGTTGAGATAGGAGCTCTGTGGGGGCCACACCGTCACTTCCAGAGCTTCTTGTTCTTCTTTACACTTCAGATAGTTCTTAATGACTTTGGCTGCATGTTTGGGGTCTTTGTTCTGCTGCAGAATAAATTTGGGGCCAGTCCTAAGCCTCCCTGATGGTAATGCATGATGGATAAGTATCTGCCTGTATTTGTCAGCACTGAGAACACCATTAATTCTGATCAAATCTCTAACTCCATTTGCAGAAGTGCAGCCACAAATGTTCAAGGAACCTCCACCATGCTTCACTGTTGCCTGCAGACACTCATCATTGTACCGCTCTCCAGTCCTTTGATATGCAAACTGCCTTCTGCTACAGACAAATAGTTCACATTTTGACTCATCAGTCCAGAGTGCATGCTACCATTTTTCTGCAATCCAGTTCCTATGTTTTTGTGCATACTTGAGTCACTTGACCTTGTTTCCACGTCGGAGGTATGGCTTTTTGGCTGCAACTCTTCCATGAAGACCACTTCTCGGCAGACTTCTCCAGACAGAAGATGGGTGTACTTGAGTCCCACTGGTTTTTGCCAGTTCTGAGGTGATGGCACTGCTGGACAGCTTCCGATTCTGAAGGCTAATAAGCTTGATGAGTCTTTCATCTAAGTTTCCTTGGCCGACCACTGCGTCTACGATCCTCAACGTTGCCCGTTTCTTTGTGCTTCTTCAAAAGAGCTTGAACAGCACATCTTGAAACCCCAGTCTGCTTTGAAATCTTTGTCTGAGAGAGACCTTGCTCATGCAGTATAACTACATTGTGCCTTGTTGCTGTGCTCAGTCTTGCCATGGTGTATGACCTGTGACATGAGACTGTCTTCCACAACCTCACCTTGGTAGCAGAATCTGGCTGTTCCTCACCCAGTCTTAAGCCTCCTACACAGCTCTTTCTCTTTCAGTTAATGACTGTGTTCCAACCTACGTGTGACATTGATCATTAGCACCTCTTGGTATAACTGCTTGATCATACACCTGACTATAATCCTAAATCCCTTACTTTATGTGTACCCCTTTGTGTGAATTGATGTTGGTTTGAAGGCTAAAGATGCCAAATATTGATTTGATTTAGACTTTTCTTTTGTTCACTTAGTTTGCATTGTGAAGATTAATAGAAACAATTAATTTGAAAGCATTATTTGTTTATAGCATTTTTTCACACCTGCCAAATACGTCTGCACAGTACCGTATATGAATATGGGTTGTGGTAGCAAATCTTTAGCCAGGCTGGCGCCACCTAGTGCCTCCACTCAAAGAATCAGGCTAGCAAATCTTTACTGTCTTCTTCCAAATAATGCAACCAGTAGAGGGAACATGTGTCACCTTTGTGATACTGGGGACATTGAAGATTGAATTGCATGGAACTGTCCCATTTTATTTATATAGTGCCAATAACAATGAACTTGTCTCTTGGTCATGACAGATGAGGACAGACAGAAGAAACAAAACAATCATTTATTTCAAAAATATATACACACCATCCATGGAGGGAAATTTACCCCATCTGTGCCTCAGAAGCTCAAATTGATATTTAAACAGTGCGTGGGGGCGTACGCATGCGCAGTAGTGCTAGGTAGCTCATATCAACAGGACCTCTGATCTCATCAGATCTCAGAAGCAAAGCAGGTCTGGGCTGGGTTAGTACTTGGGGAGGCAGCTGGGAATTCCAAGTGCCACAGTGGGGAGGCAGTGGCAGGAAAAAAAAACTACTGTTGCACACTTAGGCAAGGCACTTCACTACAGTGACATGCTTTGCTGTTGTGCATATATGTATATATATTGCCTAAAATGAAAGTGTGTGGATGAGTGTTGGTGGTAATCGAAGGGGCCAGTAGCAGAGATCGGCAGCCTCACTTCCATTAGTTTGTCCCAGGGCAGCTGTGGCTAAAAAAGTGGCTTACAACTGTGTGGCGTGAATAATGCACTGTAAAGCTTCTATGAGTGTCTGAAAAAGTGCTATATAAATTTGATCCATTATAAATTGAGTCTTACTATGTAAAAGTGAGAATGTGTTTAACTGTTAAAAATTGGTAATCAACGTATAAAACTAAATACTGGACACTTGAAGAATAAATTGACATTCACATGCAACACACCGATTTCCTCATGTAACAGTGAACCGGACACCATTGTGTCAGAACAGCCCTCGTCCAGCAGGTGTTTTCTGTAAACAACTCAGTATATTTAGTAGTGTTGAGTTACTAAGGACAAAAGTCAAAAGATTGCAAGTAAGTTAATGTGCGTTAGATACATGGTACAGTTTATTAAAATGTTGATAAAGCCCTCTGATCCAAAGGTTGGTAGTTCAGTGTTCAGTTGCTGCTCCCATACTCGATTCAGACAAGAGTAGAGTGGTAGAACAACTATATAAAATCGCATTTACCACTGAGCACCGTGCTTGAAGAATCTTTCATGGAAAATCTACAAGTTTATTTTGCTCCAGGAATTGTGTTAAAAAACAAAAAAAACAAAAAAACATCAGAATAAGTTTAGTTATATAGGTGACCAACAGTGGTCAATATTTTACAATGAAAAATAATAGTAAAATGAGAGACACAGCAATACGAAGGCCTATACTCCTGTTGTTCCCATACTGAATAAGATCACTGCACCAGAAAAGTGCCTAATGGTTCAGTAGCTACTTACAAGCAGGAGCAAGATGAAATTTCATATGGTTAAAGTGCATTGCTCTAGCATTGTTAGTCCTTAAAGAAATGTCTTGACAGAGTGCAGGGCCAATATATACATTTCAAAAAGTGAATCTCTTCTGCCATCTCTGAATCATGAGTTGACTCAGTCATTACAAACTACTTTCTTTGTTCACATCTGTCCTTTTGACAAAGTTAATACAACTAAAGCTCCAGAACAATCGATAGCACAGTTTTAGTCTCAAGGCTGCACTGGATGAAATAAGCTTCACCTTGATTCTGGCTCTGTGTCACAGGTTATCTGGGAAAAGCAAAATACTTTACAAATCAGAAATTTGTCATTGTTCAGTTTAAAACTTTCAAATTTAAAGTTACCTGCATTATGAAATTCATCCTCACAGAGTGACGTTGTAGCCTTGTCTTGTTGCCAGCCGTTGCCTATTGACAACAACAAACAAAAAGTCATCTTGTTTTCATGAACCATGAAATGTACCTGCTGAAAGGAGTGACACATACATGCCATTCATTCATACACACAAAGTAGTCATATCCCTGTGTACCAATACACACTCTCAAATGCCATTTAGAAAAAGTTGCACTTTTCATCAGTCATTTATAATATGTAAATATTTACCTTGTAACTGTTAGTGATTTATATAAAAAGTATTGGTAAGATATATTATGTTGCTAAATGCACTTTCTACAATATGATTTCTAAGTGGAACACATCGCTGCAAAAACTGATTTGCCTTAATGGGAACCTTAAAGCTCACATGGAATTACAAGGAATTACCATAGTTTTTTTGTTGTTGTAATGAGTAGATTAGAAATGGTTTATCATCTCATCACCTAAATTGGGGGAAGCTCTTTAAGCCATGAAAATACTATTGTGAGGCTCTCTTCCTCTCTTTTGAAATACTTTCTGTACAATATAGTGATTCATCATTAGTCATCATTAAATCATTAAATGGAACTAAAAGAACTATCAGGGTGTTATGAACTGCATTCTACATTAAAAAAAAGCAAACTGAATTAGTGCAAGTGTGAAAGTACCTGCGGTTCTTCTTTTGCTTCTGTCTGATCTTGGCGATAACAAAGGCTATTATGAGCACACCAAGGATGACTGCGATCACACTGACTGTGAGAGGCACACTGAGCGCCCCGTTCACTGTCTGGTCACAGAACTGGCCCCGGTATCCAAGTGCACACTCACACACAAGCTCTGTGCCTCCTCCTGGGGGAGACATACACGTCCCATGGCCATTACACTGGGTCTCTCCACATGTGGGCAGGTTGAAGTCTATGCCTCTCGGCTGGCCCACAGCAGGAGGAGGAGACATGGACATGGTGGTGGATGGAGAAAAAATGAGATTCTAGAGTAACTGGAGAAATTAAAAAGATGAAAGTCAACCTAGTGTCATGTAAAACAATTCATAAAAACACAATCTTAGTCAATAGCCACATACTCAACCAAAATAATTAACCCGACTCCCCTGAGGTCAGGTTGTTGTAATTTAGCCCCTCCCCCAAAGTAAACACCTTTTCATTTTGTACACAGGTTTAAGACCAGAGTTAATTGTCAGAGCAAATGTGAGGGAACAAACGGAAAAAATTTGTCCATGACTACAATCATAAACATGCACATTCCCAACCATATAAATAGTTAACTGGCACCAGTTTACAAACTGTACATTTTACAAGGATATACTTATTTGAAAACTATTCTAAACTATTTTATCAAATTTGTACTTGTGTACAAAGGACAGCCATGCAAGCAAGAGAAAGAATACAATAAATCCGTTAGACTGTGGAACAAACTAGAAGCTGGAGAAATGTTTATGATTGTGGTAGAGTTAAACATGAGAGCTGATAGAGGTCATGCTGCTGTACCTCTCAAGCATGCAGTCATACAGGTTTGAAAACAACACTGGGGAGGTCTTATACCTCACAGTACTCAACGTAAACTTCAAAATGCATTCAACTGACCTTTTTCAGTGATTTATTGTAGATCGCCGATCGTTTAAGTTGAACAAGTTGCTCCAAAAAGTCTTTAAAGCCTATAGAGTTGTGTCGTTCCTCTTTGTGAGACAATCTGAAACAAAAGGTAGGCGGGAAGAGGAAGAAAGTTGAGACCTGTGTAAATACCTTCCTTTTTTTCCATAATAGAAGCAACACAACTCACCTCCTCCCACTCACCTTCTCATGTTGTGACTCATATGCAACATGCTTGAGGTCAGGACTGGTAATCCTATGTGGGAAAAGGCATGGCGCATTTCCTAAGATGCCATACGATGTTACGCAGCAATAAAGGTTACCCAAGAGTCAATGCATAGATGCTCAAAGAGTTAAGTCAAGTCAGATATTTTATGAAAAAACAAGATCAAAAAATGTGCCCAGCAGGTTAACTCCAAAACTAGTGTAATAATGCGAGGACTTTTGCACCTAAATGGTCAGCCTCAAACATTATACGAAACACTTACGCCCTGACTTGGACTTAGTAGGCGTAAAAATGACATAGGTGTGTTTCTTGTAAGAGAAGGGGGTGGAAGCAGGAAAAGGCAAGTCAGAACAAGACAAACATGAAACTGTACCAGAGGACATGCTTATTTGGGATCGTGAGGGTTTTCTGGGGTACATCAGTAAAGGAGTATAGTTTGTATATAGTTACTGATCTCTAATGTCCATGAAATGTTGACTAGAGACAAGTCAGTTTAAAACATTGGGCAACAAAGCATGATTGTGACACATGAATGGTGTCGGAACCATTAAGCCAAATGCCAAACAAACATATAAGATCTAAGATGATTTTATTGCAGCAAGAGTTTAAACCCAGACATGACTGAGATAATTGCAGAGTTCAACATTTGCCCGTCTACATTGTCTACTGCTTCAACTGTAGTGACTCTAGGGTTAAACCAGGACTCTTCCCATCAACTGGAGAGTCTAGCTCCTGAAAAAAAAAACAAAAAAAAAAAACAAAACACAATCTCTTATTTTCTTATCTCATACCCTTTAGAATATCCCTTCACCCTAAAATTTTTACCTCATGGTCATAGTCGAACTGTTCCGAAGGTAAGCCGATGTTGGACATTAGAGTCTCTTTTTCTCTGGTACTGCTCAGTGCTAAAGCCAGGTCTCTCCTACAAAATAAAAACAACACAGATGACATTGATTTACCAGAATCAAGATTACAAGATTCAATCCTTGTAAATGTAACATACCAAGTCTACGAAAGCTGTAAGGTGACAATATTTGGACATTTGCTGTTCTTACACCTTACCTGTTACTAGTTACTTTTAGTATACTTTTAGTATTTTTATAGTATATATTATGTATTCAGGTTAATTTCCTAAGCATGTTTGATGCATTAATCTCTGGAAAGGTTCATTCATACCTTAAATTGTGCAATTTCCATTTCTTTTGAGATCAGCATTTTTTTACACTTAGTTGTTACTACTATTTAATTCTTAGTATTTTAAAGTAATGTTACTCTTGAGTACATATTTTGGCTGACTTACCCACCTCTGCATATTAAAAGGTTTACAGGGAGCAAATATTTGAAAGCTGATGCAAACAGTGGAAATTTACCTCAACTGATCTGTGCAAATGTTACAAAATCATTATGTAATATTTCTTTACCAACCTTTTTATGTAAATGAAAATGGCGGCAATCAACAATACAACCACAAAGAGCAGCCCCAGTCCTACAGCTCTTCCACTGTGTAAGGTTTCTGCTACTTGACAGAAGTCCCCTGTGTACCCAGCTACACACTGACAGCGCTGGACTGTGCCTTCACTAACACAGAAGCCATGGCCATTACACTGCAGGTCACATGATTCCTCTGATTTCTTTTGGCTGTTGGTGTCTGAAGAGGCAAGTGGGGACTTGACCAGGGAGCTCTGGTTGCTTTTAATTCCGGGGAGGCTAACGTCTTCGTATGAACCTAGGAAGAATAATAAATTGCTATATTTAAAGTGCAAATTACAGGGTTTTATACTTTTTACATTACTACTTGGTTTGGTGGGACAGTACCTGAGGTTAATATAAACCATAGGTTATACATCGGTTTAGTCAGTTTGTGAAAAAAAGTTAAGCACAAATATACAGGAAGTTTGGCAAGTTTTAAAATAGAATACCTCTACCCATGCCATTACCACTGAAAATTCCATCAAAAATTTTGACATAATTTATACCCAAGGAGGCCAGTTTAGACCACCTAACAGTTTAAACCTCCATTTATCAAAATTAAGTTGTTGCCATTTATTTTATATTATATTTAATTTAGGTCAGTCTGGCCCTTGTTACCATAGTCATGTAATAGTCCTCTACATAATTATGTCCTATCGGCTGCCCTTGTCCAAAAAGGAAGTAAAATTATAACTTCACCAAATTCACAAAAGAAAAAAAAAAACTAGACTAACACAAGATTGTATGTTAGTATGTTAGTAGTATAACAAATTATAAATTATCAGAAGACCAAATTAACCTCATTGGACTACACTCGATTTTTTAAAAATCAAATATGTTAATTATGTTTTTACTAAAATTAATAGTGTACCGTTATGTCATATGCTCTTTAAACTTGACCACATGATGAAACACTTACAATCTTGTTCATCGGAGCCATCCTGACAGTCCGCATGAGTGTCACAGAAGCGGGTGCTGCTGATGCATTTACTGCCATCAAGACAGGGCTGTGAGTCTGAGGGACAGGAGGGTAACGGGGCACAGGAAGTGACATTCACTATGTAGAAGCCCTGTCCACAGCGGCATGTGTTTCCGTCTGGGTACGGCAGACACAGGTGAGCACATCGTCCGTTGTTGTTGGCACAGCTGTTGCTTCCTGAATGACAAGATTTCATTTCATAATCATCTTTTCTGATTAGTTAACATTGTTTAGTTACCTTTAGACATTTAAATGTTACAAAATGTCAAACCAAATTTGAAATTCAAGCTGCTTGATCCTAGTAACCCAATAAAGTTCTTTAAAATGATATCCTATAACAATGGATACTAAGTGTTATTCAGTTTTGCTTTGGGGTATAGGTTTAAATTTGATTCTAAACAAAAACTTGAAGACAAAAAATATTCCAAACCCCATGAAAAACAACTCCATACGTGGTGCCAGTCTTACAATACACCTACAGAGGATCAAGACCAAGAGGGAGGGCTGTGATTTCGAGCTCATTCATGCAGACCCTCTCAGTGTAGTACAGTAACAGAATAGACCTCATCCCTGTGCAAGTATCACATCACCACATTCTATCTGACTTACACTAAGGGGCTCTTTCATGCTGTCCACCGTATCTGATAACACTGCATCAGCATTCTATACCACGTTACAGCTCAACTGGGCTAAATGTGTAGAAGCTCAATGTGAATTATATAAGATCAAAACAGTCAAAGCCAAAATTACAAACTATGGGAAATTTTTGTGTTGTAAACAAAAACTATCATTCAGTCTTAATCTATTCAGCTAAATGAAATACATTTAAATGTGTCAATGTTCACATTTCATCAGTGCATCAAAGCAAACTTTGCAAATGCGACACTCATCTACCCTCTAGTGGTTATAACCACGCATTACCACGTGAGTTTTACAAAACAAGCTTCTTTGTTATGAAGCTGAACACACAAAAGCTCACCACCCAAAGAGAATGTACACTGGAATCAATATGTATTGAATAAAAAGTGGCACTATGTAACTTTCCTGGTAGTAGGTCCACTAACTGTTTACCACTTGTGGAGATGTAATACCCTTTGCTTTGAATATTCATTATGACATGAAACTTATATCCATGGAGATAAGCACATTACATTACCAGGCAAAGTTACTGAGCAGGTCTGGAAGGGCAAGCCCCTTCAATGTGAGGATGCTTGTTTTCTAAGGCTTTAAATATTTGATATAAAATCATATTTAATCTAAATATGATTAAAAAAATAACAAGTATATAGTACTTGTATAAAGGAAGTATAAAATTACAAAAGTATAAAATTACAGAAATTGTCAGAAGACATACCAGACTGGCTGCTGTTGCTGTAGGCTTTTATTTCTACCAAGCTGATCTTTGTCTCAAACCACAGATGTTTTGGCTGCAGGCCATCACTAAACCATAGTCTGGTTACATCTATGCCAAAGAAATAAAATTCATGCAAATACCATAAGACAGATTTAATGAAATCAAGTCATCGTGTGTTTAGTGAGGAAACTTACCTTTGTCAAATGTCATCCAGAGCATTAAGTTTTCAATAAAGGTGAATGAGATGAGGAACCCAAGCCCTGTTTTGTACTGCTTAAATCCTGATCCATCCACACCCATAGTATAGATTACTCCCTCTCCTTGACAAAACACCAAGGTGTTAAAATGGACAAATCACAAAACTGAATTAAGGAAAAAGTTCTGCTCTCACCAGTATCAGCCCAGTAGATGACAGTGCCCGTGTCTGAAAAGACCAGTGAAGTGGGAATGCTGGACTTCTTCCATAGCACTGCCCTTTTCTGTCCATTCATCCAGGCACAGGTCACCTCTGCTTGATTGTTGCCCATCAAACCCACAGCTGTGTAGCACAGCCGGCCCGAGGGGGGATGCACAGCAATGGATGTAGTGCCCTGAATAACAAAGATTAGTAAAACACCTTTGATTTCACTATGAAATCCTTGTTCACCTTCATAAATCCAGGGAGCAGAGAAACAGTGTGGCCTTGTTCAGAAGATGTCACATGGAGATTGTGTCTTTTGCTGCTGCACCAGTAAAGGTTAGAAGTTACCCAGTCAACCGCTAGTGCAGAGATGGGGTCATCCTAAAAATAAAAACATGTGCGGTAATCTTATGTCTGTAAATTCTTTAATATGTTTTATACCTGGCTCAACTTTAAGGTTTGTCCATCAGCAAGCAGTGGTTGTCTTGACCTAGAGTCACTCAGTTTTAGTTTATTTACTGTTGCTAGAACTGCATCCACAATATACAGAGAAAGTCCAGGAATAGAGACATCCATTGATGAGGCCTCATTGACCCCAGGGAGAGCCAATACTCTTCCATTAGGAATTTTCTTGAGGCTCACACCCTCACTATACATTGAATGCAAGTGAATCTACAAGCAAGAATCAAATCCCACAGGTAATATTTAAAAACTGTTAAAACTGTACTTAAATAGAGTACCTGATAAATGGTTTGAAGAGACAGAAGCATGACAAAGGTGGTCTCCGTGGGTACAGTACATTTGAGGTTGTCCTTTGAAAGCAGCAGTCCCTTTGGGCACCTGCAGGCTGCAGAGAGGCCCTTGGAGGCCCTAGAGTTTCCACTCTGACTCCTCACTGCTGGGGCCAAAAGGCAGATATGGGAACAAGGCAACTGCTCACACGGATTGGAAACTGACGGTTGTGAAAGGGGATGCATAATCTGTAATGTAAAATGAAGTGAATAAAACATATATATATACACACACATAAAACACACACACATGTACGTTACCTTGAGGGCAAAAGGCTGCCCAGGTCTTTTAGCAAGAACCTTCTGATCTTTTCCAGTTCTTTTATCAGCAGAGCGAATACTTCTCTTTTTAGTGTCTGACCACAAGACTCGATCATTAAAGACAGACACAGAGAAAGGACTGGGAGTTTCTGCCAACTGAAGAATCTAGTGCAGAAATATGATACTCATTAAATTCTGATTCAAACCCTCAGTTATTTGGGTACGCTTTTCATGCTTGACCTTGACATTTTCTCCATCCATAGAGGCAGATCCAATGCAGCGCAGTTTCTCATCTGCCCAGTAAATCCTGTTGTCCAGAACATCAAAAGCCAAGCTCACAGGCCAGCTCAGGCCACGGCTGACCACCACCTTCCTCTTGGAACCATCCATCCCAGCCTGCTCGATCTGAGGAGTGCTGCCAATCTCTGACCAGAACATCAGCCTGAGTAGGACCAAAACTACATGAAGACTTCATGAAACAACTAATCCAATCATACAGAGACACTTACCCCTTATGTGAAACCAGAACAACTGAACTTGGCTGCTCCAAATCTCCGAGGACCACAGTATGGTCTTGTGCTTTCACAGTGTCATCACTGAGCTTCACTGCTAGAATCTGCCCCAGCAGCCCATCCACCCAATACAGGTTTTTACCCACCCAGTCCACTGCAATGAACTCAGACTTCACTCCTGTAACAGATTCAAGAAGCAGGTTCAAACACTCCAAAAAAAAGTAGTAGACTACTCTGGAAGAACACATACCTTTGATAAGTGTCCCTTTGTTGTTTGTGTTATTCATTTCAGCCCAACGTATGCTCTGATAGTTTGAGCTTAGCCAGTAAATCCTGTTTTTTGCCCAGTGATAGTCCAGTGAAAACACAGGTCGATTAGCTGATGACAGCACACGCAAGGTGCCACTATGGACTCCCAGGACGATCAGCTCTGACTGAACTGAGGCCAGAAGCAAGGCCTCACCTGAAAAGTACATTATATAGTGAAAATATATTGCATATTGCAAGTAAAAATAAATATTTGTCAAAGATGTTTTTTCTTGCCATTATAAAATCTGAATAGTTTTAGTATCAGATCAGTAAGCCCATAAGACGACTAGTGTAACTAGACCTAGGGTTACTTGATGTTTTTGGGTGTTGTTCAAAAAGCACTATATAAAACCAATAAGACAATAGCTGCTAAAACGCCATACCTTCAGTTTTGCAGCTTCTCTTGTCTTTTTCAAGGTAGAACCCGGGATGACAGTGACAGACATAGGACCCTCGAGTATTCAGGCAGATGTGTTTGCAAACTTCAGAGGAAACACTACTACATTCATCAATGTCAACACAGGATAAACCATTTCTGTATGGTTGGAACCCTGCAGCACAGAAGCATCGCTGCAGAAAATAAAAGTACTGTAAATCATGAAATGCTAAAAACTACTAAAAGGAAAAGTTTTATTGTATTAAGACCCAATCTTGTGCAATCACACCATTGAACCTAAAGAACACAAACTCACCGGACCACTGGGTGTGCTGACACAGTGGTGGTCACAATGAGGAGCCAAAGAACTGGAGCAGTTTGTCTGGTAACATCCAGCCCCTTCGTCTGATCGGTCAGCGCAGTTGGTCACACGGTTACACAGCTGCCTGGGCTCTAGGCATTCACCGCTCTCACACGTGTACAGATGAGGGGCACATTTCTTTTCACTGCCTATGAAAGCACATTTCATAACCTATAATGCAAATCTGCAAGTGTTTTATTAATTTAACAAATGCGTACAATGGTCTTCATCCTGTCCATTCTCACAGTCCTCCTTTCCATCACACCTCCAGGACACAGGAATGCACTCACTGCTGTCTCCACACTGCCACTGATATTCTTTGCATTTTACTGGGGCAGTTCTACAGCTCTAAATATAAACAAAAGCAAAATACTGCAAAAGCAAATACTGAGATGGCAATTTCTTTCATCTGAACCGCTCACCTTTTCATCATAACCATCTGCACAGTCATTCTCTCCATCACAAATCCACTCCTTCTGGAGGCACTCGTGGCTGTTTGGACAACGGAGTTGTGTTGGGCAGTGCGGTGGTCTGGAGCAGCCCTTCTCATCTGAGTGATCCCCACAGTCTGCATAGCCATCACAGCGCACAGCCTGAGACACGCACTGGCCACTTCTACAGCGATACTGGTTAGAATCACAAGCCACCAAACCTGAAAAACATCATTATGAACTGAATGTCAGCAAAGATTGTATCAGTTACACGGACCACTTACCACACTTGATCTCATCTGAGCCATCAACACAGTCTTTCTCCCCATCACAGAGGAAGGTGTCTGGGATACAGTGTGTGTTGTTGTCACACCACTGATGGCAGCCCTCACCAGTTCTCTTGCAGTTCATCTCATCAGAGCGATCCTGGCAGTCACTCTCACCATCACATACCTGCTCCTTAGGAATGCATCTCTTTCCATGAGCACACTGGAATTCCTCTAAAGCATAGACAATATGAATCTTCTAATATTTCACTTATAGAATTGTAATGACAATTATGTATTATTAATTATGTACATTGATAATCCACAGACCTGCTTTGCAGTCAGTTGCACATTGCTCTTCGTCTGACCCATCTTTGCAGTCCACCTCTCCATCGCACACATGGTTATACATAACACACTCCAGGCCATCTTTACACAACTTAAATCCCCGCCGACATTTTACAGGAAAGGAAGTTGCACTTACTGGGTTAAAAGGGGCTACAGGGATTCATATAAAATATATTTTAACAAGTATTCACAAAATATTCCAAGTCAAAAATAATGCTTAAAAAGGTAGGGCATATAGAATTTTGAATTACCCATCTATGTAAATATCAAACATGTTGAAACTAACACTGCTTTATTTTTATTTATTTTTTTAGAATAATTGACTTACAAGTTGCTTATGCTTGATTATTGTCTAGCTTTCTGATGGGTTAGTTTTGGTTCTGAAGTTGATTCTCCCCCTCATTTCCTATTCCAGCTGTAAAAGCTCTCTGATCTGAGCACTAACAACTAACCATTACTTAGCACCACTGCAGCTGCCAGTGTTTAGAGCTTAGTGAGTGAGACAGAATTGGCAACCCAGGTTAGGTTGTGCTTGTAGTTCCATTAAGCATGTATCCTATATACCCTTCCTTTAATAAAAGCATTAGCAGTTCAATTTGCAGTCATTGTAGTTGAAGTTGCATTACTTGTACAAAGTTTCTCATCTGAGCTGTCGAAACAGTCAGCGCGCCCATCACACATTTTGATTGGTGGGATGCAGTTGTTTCTATCCTGGCACAAGAAATCCGCTGTTCAAACAAAATACTATATGAACATTTGATTATAGCCGTTCATACGTTCCATGTACCTGGATTTCCACATACCTGGATTTTCACATTGGATTATACAGCCCTGCTCATCGAAACCATCTGGGCAGTCTTTCTTGGCATCACAAAGTTGGCCTTGGGAAATGCACACTGATGTACCTGGGCAGAGCAGCGACGGACTAACGCAAGATGGGGGCACTGCTGTCACTTTGTAATCTAACAAGAAAATTAAAGAATGAAAGAAACTACAGTGAGCAAAATGACATATTCCATTCTAGTAGACATCAGAACGTACCACATCCCTGCTCGTCAGTGCCATCTTCACAGTCAGTCTCTCCATCACACAGGAACGTTTTGGGAATGCAGCGCTTTCCATCAAGACAATGGAATTCACAGCTCTTTGTTTGTTTCAGACAGTTTATTTCGTCTGAATGGTCTAGACAATGGACCTTGCCGTCGCACACCTGTGAGCTGGGGATGCACATTTTTCCATGGGCACACTGGAATTCACCTTTGATAGATACAAGAATCTGGCTCGACCATTTTATATAGAAACTTACAATAATATACATACATGTTTATAGTTAAAATTTTGGAACAACCTTGTTTGCAAGATTTCAGGCATAGTAATTCATCAGATGCATCCGCACAGTCGTCTTCTCCATCACATAGATGGCTGAGTAAAACACACTCTGAGCCATCATTGCAGGGCTTTGAGCCTCGAGGGCACTGGAGACCACCAGATGAACGTGAAGACGTAATGTTTGGACAGTTAAACTCATCAGACCCATCAGTACAGTCAGTGCGACCATTACAAACCAGACTTTTTGAAATGCAGCTTAGATAATCTTTGCAGAGAAAATCACCTGTAAGAAACAACAGTTTGAGCGAAAGAATGCTTTTCAAGGGGTCTTTTCAGCAAATTTGGAAAATACTTGCTTTTATCAGAGCATTTCGTCTCACAATTCTCATCAAAGCCACCAGGGCAGTCTAACTTGCCATCACAGAACTGTGTTGGGAGAATACACACTGAGGATTCAGGACACAGGACTGATGGACTAGCACATGACCACTTCACTTCATTCATAGATGGGGACTCTGCTTTTACAGAACTGATTGGATCACTGTCATCCTTGTCATCTGGAACTGAAGTGCAGCCACCATACATTTACATTGAAACACATCATCAACCATTTCTGTGAGTGTAAAAATATTTTGATATACTCACTACACCCGTCCTCATCTGATCCATCACTACAGTCCCTCTGTCCATCACACACATGGCTGAAGAGGACACACTCAGACCCGTCCCTACACAGTCTGGAGCCATGGCGACACTTCAGGACATTGGGCGGGGCAGTGGGTGGGGCTAAACTTGGACAGCTCACTTCATCTGAGCCATCTATGCAATGAGCCCGACCATCACAGATCAGGTCCTGAGACACACAGCTCCTACGATCTTTGCACAAAAAGTCACCTATGTAGAAATAACCATCAAGCATTTAATACGGTGGTAAAGTGTAAAAGTCATTAGGTCTTAATTACACACCTTTGTATGGACATATGTTGACACATTTCTCATCTGATCCATCAGGACAGTCCTTTCTCCCATCACAAAACTGTGTTTCCAGGATGCACACAGATGAACCAGGGCACAGGACTGAGGGGCTTCTGCAGGCTGGTTGGGTTGGAGGCACAGTGAATGGTGCCGGTGAGGAATTCATTTTTTCTGGACTTCTCATTGTTTCTGGACTATCTGTAAGAAACATTCAAATCACTAGTTTGTTAACCTCTAAAAAAATGTAAAAAGTGAGCTAATGTGACAGATTTAGATAATTTCAGGAAAACCAAGGACTCCATTGCATTGAATCTGAGCCCCAACTTGTGCCATAATGCCAGAGTTATCAAATTCATCACATACCACAGCCGGCCTCATCTGATCCATCAGCACAGTCTTTCTGTCCATCACACACATGGCTGAAGAGGACACACACAGACCCGTCTGCACACAGTCTGGAGCCAAAGCGACACTTGCGTATGACTGATCGAGACGTTGGATCAGCTAAACTTTGACAGTTTCTTTCATCTGAGGAGTCCAGGCAATGAGCCCGACCATCACAAACCATATGCTGTGAGACACAGCTCCTGTGGTCTTTGCACAGGAAGTCAGCTTGAAAACAAACATTTAGAATTCAATCTAAATCTCTAGTCTAAATTGATTCCCAAAGCTACAAGTAAAGTGGCAATATGCTGAGCACTTACTCGTGTATGGACATCTTTTGACACATTTCTCATCTGATCCATCAGGACAGTCCTTTCTCCCATCACAAAACTGTGTTTCCAGGATACACACAGATGAACCAGGGCACAGGACTGAGGGGCTTCTACAGGCTGGTTGGGTTGGACGTTGAGTGAATGGCTGAGTTGATCGTGTTGTCTCTGGACCTCTTGTAGTCGTCTCTAAAGCATCCATTAAAAAAAATAAAACACAGGGAGCTGGATAGCATGGTGATGTAAGCGCTCATTCATCATACCATTTTTTTTAAATAGAAGTTTTCCACTTAAAAACTTTGTATGCAATCAAAGCTAAACATTTTGGGGAATAGAAATTTTGTGCAACTTGAATGATAAGACTTAGAATGAAAATGAGTTTGTAGTTCTGGGCATCTGCCTTTGAAAAAACTATATTGTCTAAAAGTATGATATTAAAAAGAAACAAGTTATTTGTAAGATTATGGTACACTTTATTGTACCTATAGAAAAAGAAATTGTCCTCTGCATTTTGACCGATAATTCAATGCCCGTTTTACGTTTTAAGTGTCAAAATAAAGCCTTATTTTTTTCTAATTATTAAATTTCTGCTTACCACACCCATCCTCATCTGATCCGTCAGCACAGTCCCTCTGTCCATCACACACATGGCTGAAGAGAACACACTCAGACCTGTCCGCACACAGTCTGGAGCCATGGCGACACTTAACTATGATTGGTCGAGACGTTGGATCAGCTAAACTTTGACAGTTTCTTTCATCTGAGGAGTCAAGGCAATGAGCCCGGCCATCACAAACCATATGCTGGGAGACACAGCTCCTGTGGTCTTTGCACAGGAAGTCAGCTTGAAAACAAACATTACGAATTAGTCTATGGCCCTTATGTGTGCGATAAAGACTGGGTGATCCTGTGTCCACTCATTTACTTACTCATGTATGGACATCTTTTGACACAGTTCTCATCTGATCCATCAGGACAGTCCTTTCTCCCATCACAAAACTGTGTTTCCAGGATGCACACAGATGAACCAGGGCACAGGACTGAGGGACTTTTGCAGGCAGGCTGGATTGGAAGCACAGTGAACTGTGGAGTAGGTGGTGGTCGTTCCATTACTGGTAATTTATTATCCTGAAGGGCATTGGCAGCATGTTCTGCAGAATAAGGGGCAGAGAGGTAGCATTTCGTCAATAGTATATGTATAGAGCTATGCAATCATGCTTGGAGAATTCAGCTTCCATTTGACAATAGTCATTTCATCATTAAGAGTACAACATCAGCTCACCACACCCGTCCTCATCTGATCCATCACTACAGTCCCTCTGTCCATCACACACATGGCTGAAGAGGACACACTCAGACCCATCCCCACACAGTCTGGACCCATGGCGACACTTCAGGACATTACGCGGGGAAGGGGGAGGGGCTAAACTTGGACAGTTCATTTCATCTGAGCCATCTATGCAATGGGACCGACCATCACAGACCAGGTCCTGAGACACACAGCTTCTACGATCTTTGCACAGGAAGTCATCTGGAGTGGAGTAGTTAAAAAATAATTTAAGGATACTGTATGCGTTATATGATTTAAATCTGAAAAAAAAAAATGCATGCCATTACTTTTTGAAGCACATCTTTTGACACAATTATTTTCATCAAATCCATTTGGACAGTCCTTGATGCCGTCACAAACTTGACTTGGGGAAATGCAGAGAAGAACCGAAGACTGAGGACAGAGCACTGAAGGACTTTTGCACATTTGTCTGGATTGAGGATGTGGAGATGAAGTGGATGTGTCTGACTGTTGTGATGGATCTAGTAGTAGGTACACATGAGGATTATTCAGTGTTATTCAAGTTGCCCGCTTCAGATTTTAAAAACATGAAACTGTGTAGTACTTTAATAATGCAGTCAACATAAGAGTAATAATTGAAAATATACAACACTACTATAGCAAACAGATATATTTGTCAAGTACTGAGTGTGACACAAAATTTAGGTGATGCTCAAGACAGAAAAGCCTGGGAACTACTGCACCTCTATAGAAATACTGAATAGAAATCTATCACTTTTCCAACCTGCATGGAAGTCTTTGAGTGCATGTATAACACCGAGCACATGGCTTTGCACAGCTATGGACTGGATGGGTCTTCCATCTCTGCGATCCCAAAGAGTCATTGTGTTTTCAGAGAGAGACAGGAAGAAAGGTTCCAGAGCAAAAACGACAGATCCAGTTATGTTCCATCTTTTACCGGCTATATGGCTTTTGTCCCAAAACAAACTCATGGTTACCAAACCTGGAACAATACAAATAATGTAAAATGGTCACTTTCATTTTAGGTATGCAAAATCAGAAGCTCACATGCAACACTTGTCTTGAATGGATTACTCTGTATAAAAGATGAAACACATTTACATACCTGCAGGATTAGAGTTCCAGAGAAGACTGTTGGCCCTCAGGTCAAAAGCTAGCGTCCCCACTACTCCTCCCCCTAAGCGGAGCAAAGCTAAGGGTTTACCTCCCATAATGCTCATGGTAAAAATATGACCTCCTTCCATCCACAAAAGCCCTCCCCTCAGCCAATCCAAGTACAGCTCCTCAATCTTTCGTTGTGAGTCATAGAGTTTCTGGGTGTAACGGCGGTCAGTGTTGATCACGTTTATGCTCTTTTGATCACATGACACCCAATACAAGTTCCCACTTCTTTGATCCACTTTCAGCAGGCAGGCTAGGGAATGAGGCGTTAAAAGGAGTCGTTTGAAAAATAAAGTTAATATAAAAGTTGATCATTTTAGAGATTTGTTGTCTAACCTGGTGAAGATGTTGGTATTTTTTCAGTCTTGACCTGCGTCAGACTGGTGCGCTTCACGTATCCAGTTTGGTTTGCCCAATAAAACCAGTCTCTGTACCAGTCCAAGTCAAATGACAAAATGCCCTCATCTGTTGTAAAGAGCTGGACTTCAGTAGCATCTCCATCTCGAAACTCCACAAAGTTGACAGTGCGAAGGGTACCATAAACAACTCTTGGATCTGTATGAACAAAAATAATCTATAATTTAAGTGTTTCATCTTAGGCAGAGATAAAGCAAGCAAACCTACATTCACATACGCCATTGGGCAAAAGTAGTTTGGAGTTTGGGCAAGTGCAGGTGAATCCCAGAATGTTGCTTTTGCTGAGCAGGCAGATCTCACATGGCGCTCCTACACATGGAGAAGAGACTACAGGCACAAATGAATTATTTCTATTTGTAATCACAAATAGTATACATTACAGACTTCATGTGATAAATATGAGTGCCTTATTACCTTGTGGTTGCTGCAGCTCATGGAACACACTTATCAAAGGCAGGGGGTCTTTCCAGATCAGTCTCCTTTGGTTGGGAGAGACTGGAGCCTGCCATAGACCCTTTTTGTCACTCCAGTAGAAAAATTGCTCAAACACAGTGAGACTCAGAGCAGGTCCTTGGCTAAATACTCCATGAAATGAATATCGACCACTACCATCCATCTTCACAGTCTCTATAGACTATACAAAATAACACAAACATTAATCAATTGGAAAGACAGTTGGGTGACAGTAAAGCATGCATGTCAAGTATAGTCAAGATTGAAGATTAGTAAAATGGATAGCTAGAGGTAAAAACTGTGGCGTATGTGGCATTTAATGAAAAAACAGACAAGGAGAATTCAATGTGTAAAAGAAAGGTATCTTGGTAACCTTGCCATAGATGGGCACATTTGGGCGGTGCTACTATTCGTACATATACTGTTCTGTGGTCACCTTCTTCGAGTCACTGATCCAGTAGAGTCTTCTGGCGGCTACATCAATAGTGAGGCCATGGGCAGCCTGAGCGGTGAGCACGGTCAGAGACCTCCGATCTGATCCATCCATCCAGGACTTCTCTATGGTTACTCGCTCACTTGGCCCAGCATTTATCCAGAACATCAAACTGCAACAGCAAACAAGATTTGAACTAAACTAATAATCATGTTTTATTTTGGTTTGTAATACACATAACCGAAGGAAAACTACTGTCACAACTGTACTGAAGGCAAATCCTTAAAATGGATTTAACAGTATATAATTAATATACTTTTCTAATCATTCCTTGGTTTGGAGGGATAGTACCTGTGGTGATTAGTAATCATAATTTTACATCAAGTTGCAGTTAGTGAAGAAAAATAGAAAACAGTTGTAAAACCACAGGCTACAGGAAGTCGCAGGAAGTTCTAAAATGGAATACATCTACGTCATCAACTATCATCAATTCCATCCAAAATGCAGAGGCAATTTCCACACAGGAAAGCCATTTTTCCTGACAGTTTAAACACTGATTTAACAAAGGTGTTGTAATTTATTTTTCATTGTCAAATCTATTGGGCAATTTAGAGAAGTTTTAGTCCTAGTTAATATCGTGGTTCTTAGGTAACATACCTCTACCTACGTCATGTCGGATGCCCGTGTACAATCACAAGTAAAATTCTAAATAAAATGACCAAAACTAGAACATTTTTTAGTAATGTTATTGACTACGTTTTAGAGAAATTAGTCTTCTAGTCATATGCACATTAAATTATGTTACTGCAATTATATTAATATAAAACATGTTTATTTTATTAATGTTTGTTTAAACAAATTCCATACTGATTAGCCATGCATACCTCTCAACAGGCAACAGCACCAAGTCAGATGGATTGACATTTTTGCTTAAGACAGTGGTGTAACTTTTTCCATGTGCCACCTGCATATAGATTGTCCGGGTCTCTTGATTGGCCCAGTACAGCTGTCCATTTAGCCAATTGCAAGCTAAACTTTGGATACCAGGCTGGCCTAAGGGAATGAATATACTTGATTTAAAATAAATAATTAAAACACAAGATTTTGAAGAGCACAAACCAGCATAGATGGTCCAGGTCTGATGTCCATCAGTCTTGTGAATCTGTCCATGGCCGTCAGCCCAGTAGTACAGAGCTCGTTTCAAGTCAAATGCCAAGGCCACTGGCTCATACACAGCAAACTGGACTACTTCAAAATGTCGAGATTTCACGTCCAAAAGCCCCAAAGTATTCCTCTGAACCGTCACCAGTCTCGTAATATTGCCTTCAGAAATGTACAGTTTTTGAATTATAAATTTAAAGGTGCATTAGGTCATTTTTCTGAAGGTTAGTTTATGCAACCTTCTTATCATAGGGAGATATTACAGTTAATCTCATAATCTTGCAGTTTATCAATTACAACTGTTTTTGTTGCGTAGAAACACTTTGGAAAAACAAGCATTTCTACTATGAGTGGGATCATTCCTCCACAGATCTGACCTGTAACTTGGCCTGACGGCATTATCTGTTTTTTTTTTGGTTTTTTTACAGAAATGGTAAAGTTTAACACTCTACATTGGATCATTCCTGACAAAGCAATGAAATCTCCAAATTGACAAGTATGTGGCTTACAGAAAAGTGACATAATGCCCCTTTAAATTAAAACAAAAAACAAAAAAAAACCTTTGACCTTGTTTGATCTGAACAAAAATCATATCACACATTGTATAAACACCCTTAGATCAAAGTCAGTTATTGATGCTGAGCAGCTTTTACACCTGTATAGCATTACCTGTAGCCAAACACATAGAGCCTTTGGTTAGTGTGAATCCTTCTCGGCATTGGCAGTAGTATGACCCCACAGTGTTAACACAGGAGTGCATACAAACAGGACGGGCCAGGGCGCACTCATCCACATCTAAAGCATTGAGAGGGGGGGTACTGATCCTTTAGTTTCACAGTGAACTATGTGAAGTGAACTATGCAAGTAAAAGATTAACAAACCTTTACAAGTAGCTCCGTCAAAAGACAACTCGTATCCCACTGGACAAGAACACAGAGCTGCCCAGGGTTCATCAACACAAAAATGACTACAGCCTCCGTTATTTATGGAGCAAATCCGTCCTGTAGTGAAAGTGTAAATATTGCAGTTCCAATACGCTTTTGAGGAATCATTTCCAGTTTGAAGCATTCTAGTGTCTTGTCTCACCACATGTAATAGGCTCATCTCGTCCATCAGCACAGTCCACTGTACCATCACACCTTTTTTCTAGAGAAAGACAAGTTCGATCTGGACACCTTATGCCTTCACTGCACTGACCTTTAAGAATTTAACAAAATATAACAAAAAAATTAATACCAAAGTTTACATTTTACTTTCCACATTTAAACAGTGACACTGACAAAAACTCACTAAATGTAGGATATTTGTAGAGAAGTTCTAGTAACAAGCATAAAAAAGATTAAAGGGCCCATATTACACTAATTTCTGACCTAAGTTAATTTAGTTTACTCATTTGAGACATACTTGGAGTTGTGTTTCATTTACACAAAACACAAAAACCCTGGATATTTAGGCTGAGTTCTTCTCTCAAACTGAAAATACTCTGTTCTACCTCATGATGTCATGTGGTAATACAGAAATGCTCCACTGTGTTTTTAAACCCCTTACACCCTCCCTAGAATAACTTGGATAAGAAAGCTGTTAACTTGAAAACTATGTCAATTTTGTGTAAACATACATTACCCTTACTCTTGCTGTGTATATACATCCTCATAATCCAAATAAAATCATTAGACAACTAATACAAATTGGGTTGACTAAAACAACCACTAACTCACTCAAAGACTACAGCCCTTCCACATTTATTAGAAAACATTCCTACAGCTCTGTGTACCCGTTTGATAGGCTGCAGGGTTATGGTTAAAGTTATGGCCTGGATTGAGATTATGTTTAAGATTAGAGCCAGAGTGAGGGTTGGGGTTATGGATTTATTTAAAGAGTCATGGGGACCCAAATATGCTCCCTTTCAGTGATTGCAAATTTAACATGGGAAATACTGTACATTTAAAACTTACCACAATTCTGCTCATCTGAATTATCCAAGCAGTCATTCTCTCCATTGCAGCGCAGTTCCATGGCGATACATAGATCGTTTTTACAGGTCCACTCGGAGTTCAGACAGCCCAAGGAGTGTTCACAGTTCTCCTCATCATAGCCTGTTGGACACTGCTTCTTCCCATCACAGTGAGCAGACAGGTCTACACAGTTCACAGAGTCGAGACAAGAAAACTGGCCCTGCGGACAAGCGGAATAGCCTGTGCGAACAAGAATAGTTTGAACATCTTAAATATGAATAAGTCATTTCATACACATGATTACAACTTACTTTCACAGTCCATTTCATCTGTTCCATCAAGGCAGTCTCCTTCCCCATCACATCTCCAAACAGCAGAGATGCAGCTCCCATCATCACACTGCCACTGACTGGAATGACATGCAAGCATCTGGCCTACTGCAGAGATATGGAGTGAAAAGAAGACACATACCAGTGAGGTGACATTTTTTGTAATGTGAAGATCAAAAGGCTCATTCATTCACTTCGTACAACAGCCGTGAGACATGATGCATCAACATATTCTTACAACAATATTACGAAGTATTTGAGACGAATAGGTGCTTTTTTTTTACTTCATAAAGGTGGTGAATGAAATGCCCATTACTATCCTTGTTACGTGTGATCTTTGCCATATTCGGTTGGTTTGCGGATTTGTCAGTGTTTACAACTGTTGATCACATTCATTGTGGTCAAAATCTGACTCTTTCCCTAAAACAAAACCATAAATCCGTTTTCCTACCCGCGAAAAGCCTCAGCCTGGTTAAAAGGACCAAACAAACGCAGTGGCGCAGGTCCATGTCGGCCCAGGCTCATCGGGACAAACAGCAGCAGCTGGGGGGAAAAGGCTTTAATGAGAGAGCTCACAACTGCACGTGTGTACCGTCCGCGCGCACTGTACTCTCAGTCACGTGACCTCGTCTTTTTTTTACCCTCCACCAATAAAACAATGCGGAAAAATAAATGCCGCAGAACAAACCATATAACCTACTCATGTATCCATTAATAACTTACTACATATGCGCGTGTATGTGGTTAGAATAGATATGTGACATTAAAATTACATTAAACCGTGAAGCAACGCAACATAAACGTCTCCGACTGAGAAACTTTCGATGTTTTTGCTTTTGTAGCATAACCTATTCACATAGGCCTAGATTAGCCCTTTCAGCTGCTAATCAGTCACACTAATTACTTACTGGGTCATCGTGGTCTGAAATAAATAAATTGTGGTGTCAAAATAAATAATAGGCTACTGTTACAGGTTAGTGTGTGTACGCTGAATGATCTGGCCAAATCATTGTAAATAATAATGCAACAAATAAAGACAATCCAATTTAAAATGTATGCTATGAAATGCATAGGTCACCTATCCACTGCTCACTTCAAAATGACTAATATGTTTTGGACGCAAACTTTATTTCACATTTACGCACAACGTTTACAGGACTAGACACTGAACCTAGAACTTCTATTTGGCACCAAAATGAACATGTCACAACACGAAGTCCAGAAACTGGCAAAAGCAGCATAATATCTCCTCTTGGTCAGCGCTTGGACACATGTTAGCCTATAAAATCTTGTGATGCAGGCACATGAAAGCGATTGAACGTATTGATGTAAAGTCTAAGATCATATTCTTCAATAACAGTGAGGTCTTTGCTCCTGACACACCGTCCTTTGTTCTCTCTTCTTTGAGGTCAAGTGTCCAGTTTGTTTTATGAATGAGCCACGATCAGGACCATTCATGTTCCTACAAAGTCACATTTCAAGAACACCTTAAATCAAATGGGCCTGCTAAACAGATTTTAAGGCCATGCTGCTGTCAAATGTCATGTAAAATTTTTGAAATAATGTTGAATAAACAGTATACAGCGATAGGCCTTTTCGGTTAGGCCTACACATTTCTTAATACTAAAAACGGATTGAATACCAAGCCTGATATGCCAATTATAGCACAAGTAGGCTAATAAAACCAAAATATGTAAAAATTAGTACCTTATTAATAGGTAAGATACTATAATTAGTTTGTTATTCTTATTAGTAGGTAAAAGGTTAAATTATTAGCTACTATTGTCAATAAGCTTTTATATTTTTTTTTAGGCCAACTGTAAATTATTATCCTGCTTATTAACAAGTAAAGTTTTGAAATATCCATATTTGTATGACTTACTCAAGCATTCATAGTATTACCGTGGAATGTAAATTTCTCAAAAATATATCCTATTTAAATATAAATATTGATTAAAATAAGCCTAAAACATGGACTTTACAAACGTAGAATAAATTATTTGTCAGCGTCGTCCAATTTTATAAACTGTAAATGTATTATCGTGAGCTTACTCTCATTGCGAGTCTTTCCATGCCGTGAAAGTAGTTTCTGATTAAGTCCCATTAATCAGAGCGCAGCGGTGCATCATCTAATCTGCTTAGCTAATATTATTGTGATGAGTTCTTATCAAAAGAATACCTAACACGCGCAGAGTAACGACCATATTCACTTTTCACACCTCTCAACTACAAAGACAAATTGGTTTCGATCCGAAAGCGCTATGGCCCTTTGCGCGCCATCGTGGATCACACACGCCCTGACAACGCACTTCAAAGGCCGTTAGATGGTCCACTTTAGCGGGGGTATAAAACCAACCAGTGCCTGTGTCCTGCATCATTTGGCGTCTATCTGCACAAGCGACAACATCAAGAGGAATACTCAAGGAAAACGCAATGGATCTAATTTTGACTCTCTTTACGCTTTTGGTGGATTTGGTTCTGGTTATGGGGTCACAGCGTTTCTCTGGGTTGCATCCGAACGCTGTTCTTCGTGAGAAGAGCGCAGGGTCAAGGCATCAGTCCACCCGGCTACCGCTCTACATGATGCAGCTGTACCACACTATGCTCACCGAGGACCGCGTCAGAAACCTCGAGATCAGTTTGGGCCGATCCCGGCTTGAGGACAACCCGGGTCTACATGACTCGGACTCCGTCACCAGCCTTGTAGCAAAGAGTATGTATATTTTATTGTAGATATAGACTATATATTTGATATTTTAGAAGTATGTTACCCTCAAATATATTCTGTTAATTGTGGGTGTGGCTTGATTACCTGAAATCTAATTATATGTCAACTGAAACTTTTGGTTTTGAGCATATAGAACTTATGTCTAATCATTTATCTTTTTTCTTGTTACAGCTTGTCAGCAGATTGGAAATCACTGGTCTGTCACCTTCGATGTGTCCTCTATGTCTACAAGTGACAATATCCAGCTGGCTGAGCTCCGCATGCGTCTCCCTGCCTTCAGCCAGTCCTCCCAGGCCTCAGTGGACATCCATCACCACTGCATGGGGCCAGACTGCCCCAAGGAGCCATTGTTTCTGGGAAGAGTCCAGGCCAAACCTAACTCCATGTTGTCCCCTTCCTCCTGGAAGGTGTTTAACATGACTGAGCTGCTTTTAAACTGGCTTCAGGATGGATACTCTTCAGACAGACCTCAGGAGAAACACACTAGAGATGAGGAGGTGGTTCAGCACTCCACTTCTGACAGGGTCATGATGGTGGTCTTCACCAGGCAGAACCCCACCAGCCAGAGAGCTCCCACTCTCATCCGCACAGCTGAGCACTCTAAATATGTACAGTTGGACAGTGTCTCCAGGAGGAGTGGCCGGAGCAAGAGGCACCAGCAGAACTACCATCAACGCCATGCCCACCACCAGAGAAGAGGAGTGGCAGGGGCTGCTCCGGCTAGCAAGCCCACTGAGGACAATAAGAGCTCTCTGTGCAGGAAGGTGGACATGTGGGTGGACTTTGAGAAGCTTGGATGGAGTGAGTGGATTGTCTATCCCAAACGCTACAATGCTTTCCGCTGTGAAGGTAGCTGCCCCACACCTGTGGATGAGACTTTCACTCCCACCAACCATGCCTACATGCAGGTAAGAAACATTTCACATCAGTATCATAAGTGTTATTGTGAATTATGTAGTTATTTATCTTTCCATTGAATAAATGAACTAATGGAATTTAAATTCTCTCTCCAGAGCCTGCTGAAACTTCACCATCCTGACAAGGTGCCCTGTGTGTCGTGTGTCCCCACTCGCCTAGCTCCTCTCTCTATGCTCTACTTTGAGAATGGGAAGATGGTGATGAGACATCACGAGAACATGATCGTGGAGGAGTGTGGCTGCCACTGAAAACTCCAGTGGAAGAAAATTCAAAGGCACTTGACAGAAATGTCCACCCAAGGAAGAGGCGCCTGCTGTAATGCACTGCATTCAAGAAGGACACTGCTCTTTAAATTATTTTATTGCTACTTTGTGTAAATATAACTGACTGTGTCATTTACTCAGACAAGCTTTAAATGAAGTGGATGACAAGTGAAGAAAACTGAAACATTTATTAACATATTTATGAATTATTGGTTAAGATGTGACATGGTAGAATGACAAGAGACTTAAGCACTATAGATGTGTATTTTTAATGCAATTGAAATTGTTGTCAGAATGTAAGCTCTTTAAAATATTAGATATCTGGGTCACATTGACCTGCTCTGTATAATATACTAATGCAATAAATTATTTTGTATCTTTATTCTTTGGTATTTATTACATTTGATTGTGGTCAGTTGGTGAGTCTCTAAAAATCTAGTATGCAGTATTCAGGAAAAAATGATGAAAATGAATGTCATATAAACACTTCTATATTTATTCAAGTAAAATATAGCACATCTTTAGAAAAATTCACTCTAGATTTGGATGTTACATCGTGATAACATACAGCAGCAAACAACCAACACCAAATTACTCCAATGAAAAAGAAAAGGGAAAACAACAACAGTACAGTCCTGACTAGTCCTGACTTTGTCTTTTTAAACCATAAATATCAAAAAGTTTAATTGTTATTACAATAAAAAAAAAAAAAAAAAAAAAAAAAGGCATCAAAAACAACTAATAGGTTAAATGGCTTTGTAATACCAGATGGTGCCAGAGTTGAATTAATTCATTATTCAACAGCAGTAGAAAATACTGTCTATCATCTTTTACTTGAGAATAACTGGGCTTCACATTGCCTTGGTTATTTTTCATAGTAGTAAACATTTAATAATATCAAACATAAACCATTTCCAAGTGATGGTGATCCTGACAGAGGTTGCTCAGATGTCCATTTCAAACTGGGCCTCCTCTCCTGTGAGGACACATCTTATACAGTCACAAAGAAAAGGTTCAAATCAAAAGATGAAAAAAAAAAAAAAAGGATTTACCTGCAGCCTCCTCCTGGATGAGCTCATGGTTATTGCGGGGAGTGGCTTCGGGCAGTTCGGACTCAGATTTCATGGGCCTGGTCACTCCAGGGATGTCTGGCAGGTTGGGAGGGGTCCGGGTCAGGGGAGAGGTCCGGCACTGTAGCAGGAACTTGCGGTCATAGATGATTCTGGTTCCTAAAGAAAAGTAAAAGTAAGTAAAAGAAAAGGAAAAGTAGAAGTGACTGTTGTTTATCTGCCTGAGAAGTGTGTATCCTCGCCTGGCCAATAAAACATTGATTAACATTATATAATAATTTCATATAATATTAAAGGTTAATGGTGCACTAGTAACTTTACTGGGGGAGGGCACCCCACCTTCTTGTCGCTATGGTAATGTCATTAGATTGTCTGGAATGTTCCACAGTATTCCATTAAACATATCTCCCTTTGGTGAACTAGGTGACATCCCTAGATCAAGTTACAGGTAAGATCTGTAGCCTGGAGACTCAAGGTAAGGATTCAAGGCATTTTTGAGCAATAAAAATGTCTGTAATTGATTAAATACAATATAGACACATTTAATTTGATATTGTGGTACAGCAAACTTATTACATTCATAAACACATGGACTAACATATATTGCATTATTGCTTATTATAAGTTTGTGAAGTACAGTTCATACAGAATCACAACACATATAGGACTGAATGATAATAATATATTGGTATCATGAAAGCCTAAAATACTACAGTTAAGAACTAAAGAGAATAAATAGCAATAAATGTTTGGATAATAACTCAAAAACACACGTTAAAATACAATATGCAGCAATTATCCCATTGTTAACTTTAAACTGCTCAAAGCCTATTTCTGTAATGGTCAATTTATGTCTCGTTAATCTCTCACGAGTGCGTGCCTACTCTATTGACAATTTCTTTTTATGGTAAACTGCACTTTAAGTGGTAGGCCTATTGCTGCTTACCATATATGTAAAGATTACATTTTATTTGCACATATAAAATGTAATCTATGATGTACTATAAGTACATGTACTATAAGTACATCATAGTTTAGTTTGTTAAAGTCTTCATATTATTAATTATTATTATGATGTGTTATTATTAAGTGTAATGTATACAAGTGCAGAGGTGGGTAGTACTCACTTACATTTACTTGAGTATCTATTGTACTTTTCTAGCAGCATTCTTTTACTCCTACATGAGTGATATTTTTATTTAAGTAACAGTACTCTAACTTCAGTAAAAGCTTTGGTGACTCCTCAGACTATGAGTAAGTCTACAAGTGACAAAATCTTTATGTTAATATCTTGTCCTTCAGATTACATTTACTTCAGATTATAAATCAGATGTTAAGTACTGACACTTTAAATTACACTTATTTAAGTAATTTCTTGGATCACAACTTCTACTTCTACTTAAGTAATTCTGATGCAGTGTTACTATTACTTGAGTACAACTGTCTTCCATTTGAGTTTCTTGAGATTTTAACAATTTAACCATGCTATCACCATAACCTCACTTGGAGTTCTATTCAGATTTTTTTCATGTATGTTTGAGTAATCCTGCTTTGTCCTGCATTTGAGACTTACCTACTCAGAAAATTTCTGTTTTCACCTACCACTAATCCCCCCTACTTTTATGTTTTCTTCTGATTGTTATTATATTCACATGTTACCTTTCACCTGGGGCTAGTAACACCCCAGAACTGTAGTGTCCCGTGGATAATGACCATTTGGTCAAAGGGCATAGCAAAAAAATAAAAAATAAAAAAATCTCACACATATTTAGTTCAAACTACTCATGCAAAAAATATCAATATACATATAGTATAGTTGTGTGGTAAAATATTGATGTTTGGATTCCATTCCAAGCTCTAATAAACAGCTACAGAATGTACTTCATAAAGTACAATTTCTGTATTGCTGCACATGCCATTTTCCCAGGCTATATCACTCAAGCCTACAGCTGCTGACCCATTTATTTTTTCTGTGTTATCCACATGTGACTTACAGTATATGTACTTTACCTTTACTAACCTTCTAAGTAAACCTTAAAGGACAAGCCTGGCTTTGATCAACATATGTAAAGTGTGTCAGCTTTCCCAAACTCTCATATTTGATGCAGAAAATATCACATCAGCATTTTCCTTAAGTGAAGACAGACAAGTTTGGTCACATTATGCATCTGGTAGAGAATACGCCTCACAACACTAAAGTAAAAGAGTGATGAATACTTTAAATAGATTATGGCGCTGGTCCATGCATGGTTAACAAACAACACATGCAATCCAGTTCTTGTTTTTGCGTCACTCTGCATTTTGCGTCACGCTGTTGGAGAACGTGAACATAATCAATAACAAATTGAGCCTCCTGCTGAGTTATAAACTAGTGACTGGAATAAAATAAGTTGACAGTATTGGAGAAAAGGGAGTTATCGTCTGATAGTAGCCCTATATTCTCTTTCCTTAAAAGATTACAAACGCTGTCCAAGACATTGAGGTTGGAAGAAATTTACAGAAGGTAAAAACGCTAGGTTTAATCAAGCATTTTAAGAGCTAGAAATAAATATGAAATGGCACACAGCCATAGGAAATATTCCCCACAGACGCTGGTGCATTTACTTAGTGAAGCTTGAACGTTGTGTAATTTCCCTTCTGGGGATAGCCTCTACTCCAGTATGTCAAGTCTACAGTACGACTTTAACAATAAATATGCTTTGAGGGACAACAGTCAACAACCTCTATCTGGCTGTCAGCTGCAGTTAAAGCAGTGGGCAATGATCATGGGTCGCTGACTTAAAAAGATGAAGTGAAATGCCTCAGAGTTTAAAAAAGTTATCCCAGCTTTCTGCAGCCATGCTGTCTTCATTCACATTGTAGCTAGCCAAATACGTGTGGGAACTATTTCAAGATCACATTACCCAGTCATGGCGTTCGTAAATGTCACGCAGAACATGGATCAAACTCAATGCTGCACCAGTCACAACTAGAACAGAACATTACCTCCAGGAGTAGTGCTGAACAAGGTTCCTCCTGGGGTGGTGGAATAGTCCTGGGGCATGTGGGCTGCATCGAGGATAGCCACCCGCCTGACAGCTGGAATGTCCCGGCATCTGGTGCTCTGGCTTCCCGCTGACATGTCGAACAACACGGCACAGATGGCTAAAAAGCTCAACGGAAAAGAAAAAGGCGAAGTATTGCGTGGCAGCTAGCAGCACAAGCGAAGACCTTGTGCTAACACGTGGTCCCAGCAAATCCAAAACAACAAGCACTTCCTCCAAAACAGCACGTGGCACGGAGCGCTCTGATTGGCTGAAGCCAGGGGCGTCACACTGTGAGGAGTAGCGGGACCTATTTTATAATATTTTTTTTTAACATTTATTATTGCTATTTTCACCACGAGGTTTCACTAAATCATATGTGAAATATTTCCCCTCTTCCTCTTCCATTTCGAGAGTCATTGTTTAATTTCATTTGTAGTTCCAATTTTCGTTTGCGTCCAAAGTTAATTAGTTAGTCTGTACTACTACTTTTTCTGTAGAGTATTACCTTCTGTTTTTCTTTCCTTGATGGCATATAGCTGGCTTAAAAATAAAATAAAATAAATAGCATTACATGAACTAAAAAAATCAAAGCACGGACTACTATTGCAGTGTAAAGCAACTGGCATATCTGGCAGCATACATTCATATAGGCCTATTATCTTTTTAAAATTTAAAAAACTATTTCAGACCTCCATAGGTTATAAGAGAAAACATGTGCAGGCTTACAGTGAAATGATTGCAGCCCATCTATGGCTTTTCCATTACAACACCATCTATCTCCAAAATAACCAGGTTTGTGGACATTTCTTTGGATAGCTTATGAAACTGCAAGCCGCATCCCATCATCGCATTCTCTAAATCTGAAAACAATGAATTCAAGCAAAATGTATTCTGCTCTATCAGGATGTCAATTAATTACATAAAAAATATACTGTTTATGTCTCACGTAGTCCACCCCTCCCCCCAAAACATCACAGTAACAGGTACAAGTATGTCACATGTTTGTTTATTCATTTCTGTAAATGTTTTTGAGCTGGTGTACAGGGTAGAGATGATCTATACATATCTTCATGTCAGAACGGTTCTGATTGAAAGGCTTGTACATATTCATATCTGTTCTCCTCTTCTCTCCAGGACCATACAAAAGGAAAGAAAACAAGTGGTCTTAGCTACAAAGCCTCTACATGCCCCATGATGAGGGCGTATGCTTAGACTACATAATGCTTAAAGAACACCAGAACAACTATATGAGGGTGCATAGCATTCTAATTAAATATATATTTTTTATCATATATTTATACATACATTTTCATAAAAACATATTTTTTGTGCATGTGCGCAGTTGCATTCCTTAGGATAGACTAATATGATATTGCGTTTACATTGTCATGTATCTGTTCTAAAGGAGTATAGGTGAACTTTAGTCTTTTCACAATTCAAAATGGTACAATACTCAGTAGGTTACTCATCCCCTCATTGCAAGTCCAGGAATCTTTGAATTGTTCACCCAGTCCACCATAGACATGCACGCACACAGCTCACCACCCAGTCACACAGTATACTTGGGGAGTTTTACATACTGCAAAGTTTTATGGTTCAAATTGTTAGTACTTTTGAATATCCAGATTAAAAGATGCCTTAACTCATAAATGTGCTCTATTGTAATTGTGATCAATATCAGATAATTGTAAAAAGCATGTTAATTTGCTTTGATTGTAGATGTCATGACATATTAAAAGGTCATTATATTATACTTTTACTATTGCATATATATATTTAATAACATGAACAAAAAAGTTAACAATTAGGATCATTTAAAGACATATATACATAGATTTATTTTTAAATATCTTTTTATTTTTGGTTGTTGAAGCAATAGTTAACACTCTGTGCAGAGGCACCGGAGAAGTAATAATAAATTGTCCAAGTTAGACTTTACTTGAATGCAATAGGACAAATCTAGGGACAGTTTTTATTATGTGAATAATAACCTATATTAAAAACTGATGGAAAGTTTTATTCAAAATATTATAAATAATATACTGCTAATACATTTTAGCCACATGTAAAACCATTTGATCCACTGAACTTGAATACTAACTGATGTATAATGACTTTAAATTCTATTATACATCATACAAATTTATTCTAGAAATGAAAATTCAAATGTTTGTTTCTAATTGACTTGCCATCTCTTTTTGTGCAAAGGCTGACCAAGTAAAATCTACAGTTCATCAATCATCCACCACACCTCAAACCTTATGGAATCCTGTCTCTAAAAAGAGGAGTTGGGAGACCGTGAGGAAATCAAAGTAAAACTTGACCGTGCACAACTCAAAAGACCTGAGTGGATTAACAGTGGAAAACGTGATATGTAGCGAATGTGCTATAGTCCATGTACATGTCCCTGTTGTATGCTGTCATTCAGTGCGTCAGTCATTCAGGCTACAATAGCATTTACAGTACTTCTGTTAAAACACGATAGTTAGGTACTGTGTGCTACCATGATAGGACCCAGGGGTGCTGCCACTGGGGAAGAAGTGAGCCTCTGCATAAGGAGGGGAACACACTTAACAACATGGAGAACTGAGTATGTCAAACTATAGGCAAATAAAAAAAATAAAATTACAAATATACCATTATAAATCTTTTGTTTCCCTCTTTAAGCAGCTGCAATTACAGAGCGTTTCCTGGTTGCTCATTTGCTACGTATTGTGCTGAAAACAATAAACAATATTTCACAGTCTCAAACCATGTCATATCGTACCCTCATAAAGATCCAATTATTATCAATTCATTCCAAACTATCAAAAACAAACCCTGTTCCTTTTGTCAGTGTTATTGCTGTGGCAAGTTGTCTAAACCTAAATGTATCTAATCTCAGGAGACTAGTCCATCTTGTGTCCAGTGTTTGTCCCAAATTTCACTTTCAATTCAAATAAGTGTTTTCAGTCCTATGTAGAAAATAAAACCACATTTAACTGATTGGTTTAAAGAATTATGCATGTATATGTGTATATATATGTATATATGTATATGTATATGTATATATATATATATATATATATATATATATATATATATATATATATATATATATATATATATATATATATATATATATATATATATATACACACACACACACACACACACACACACATATACATATACATAACATAACATAACAGTAACTGAAGTCTATGTGGCATGCCTAATTTGAATTGGCAGAATAGAACAATTGTAGAACAATTTCATAGTTGTACCTAACTATGTTTACTTTATTCTCCTGAAAATTGTGTGTGTGCTCTTGTTAATCTTCACAGTTCATAAGTATTGGTTCAATAAAAATGAGACAATCACAGTGCTGTCTGTCCACACAGCGAAATGCTCACTATTAGATGTCATACAAAAGCTAATGTTTTTCTATAGCATCACAATCCTCTATCAAACCAGGTCTTTCGTTTTTACGCCACAGCACTTAGTGTCAATGAACAAATCAAACTGTGACTAACTACAGATATGAGATAAGGACAAACTCAAGAAGTGATTGCATGTGGTCTATTAAAAAAGGATGGTGTGTGCTAAATAAGAAATGAGGAAGGTAGCACAGATGGGCCCTTCCACAAAGGGGAACAGGTACAGAGCTGCTGCACAAGGTAATCGCCCAAAACATTCTTTTGTCTGAAAAGCTTGAAGTGAAGAGATTCAGTTCCCTATTTGTCAAACAATCCTTTAAACCGAGGTGAATTAGATTTGAGGAAACCAATACAAGTAGCGAGCTCCATTCACAAAGGAAAAGACGTTAGCGCACACAGACAGGATACTCACAAGCAAGGAAGCACAGTGGCTTTCTCATTCTGGCACTGAGCATGCCATGACATCACATGGACGACGAGCCAATCATGGGGCAGGGCTCAGCACCAAGCCAGAAGCAGTTTACACATGCGGTAGAGAAAAGTACACACGTACGCACACACACAGACGTAGCATAGAGTGCATATATCACATTGAGAAGAACTAGGAGAGGGTCCAGTCAGAGAAGCACTGGTCGGCTCAGCAGAGGCGCAGCTGTATACCATCCAGAGATTTGGGACAGACATTTTTGGCTGTAGTTATTGGACTTGTACTTGCAGATACAAACCATTCCAACTAGGGTAATGTTCCCAAAAGGTCCGTGGTCCTAGTAGACCATCCTGGCTCATCCATTCAGTGAGATAATGAGAGTTCCAAAGGTCAAAGGGCATGCACCAGCAGTAATCATGCGGTTATAGTTCACAGGAAGCACTTTTTGTTGTGTTTTTCTTGCAGTTGGTTTACATTTTATATAAAAAAGAATCATGCCTTAGATTATTTGATTTGCTTTTTTCTTTACAAATGTTATAAAACTACAAGTTGATCATTTTGTCTGTTGACAGTATCTTCTTGTTCTCCAGGTCACATATTGAGGATACTTATGTTTATATCAGTGTCTGTTAGTCAAATGTCCGTGCTCATTTTCCTCGCCGCTCGGGTTGCCGTTTGGTGGAGGATGGTTTGGCAGTAGCTTTTCGTTCCTGTAAAACACAAAATAAACTGTAAGGGTTCAATTTATGTAATATTCAAGAACCAAAATGCTTGTAACTGTTTATACAATCTTGTACTAAGTTCACTGGAAAATGTTAACTTTCTGTGTAAACCACTTGTAGGAGTTAAAAAACTGTGGTCACCTTTCTTGCCTGCACAGGAGCATGTTCCTCAGCACGTGATTCAGTAGCACATTCTTCTTTTTCCTCCCTCTGTAAACAGTATTAAAACATTGCATTTATATTTCAATGTAGAGGGTGAGAGGTATATAAAAAAGCAAATCAATATTTGTAAAGCAGATGCAAAAACATGTATCAATATATCAAAAATCTTCAATGGTATCTCCATGTGTGCAGTGTGCAACACATCTGACTGCTCTTCATCAAAACATGTGTTTTGATGATTCCTTTGCAGCTGAGTGGAAAACTAGAGATGGTCTTAAGCAGAACTAAACTGTGTGATCTCCATGCCATCAGTTAGTCGAAGATAAATGATGGACAGGAGTTTGGGGCTTGCAGTAAGCAGTCACCATAGAAACCTGACCTGGCCCTGTCTGAGCTCTTTCTCCCACAGATGTGGCCCCCTGTCAAAGGGCTGTGTGCCCTGTAGGAAGCGGCCCCGCAGCACCTGAGAATACCCCGAGTCACACACCGAGATCAGCAGCGCCTCCTGGGCTTCACGCAGACTGCTATCCCGCCCGGTGGACACTGAGCCCATCCAGCCCGAAAGGGAATCCTTCTCTGGCAGATAGGGCTGGAATGCACCCCCTCCTCCAACCCTAAAATATACACAGAGCACAAACACAGCACCTGCTTCAGTAGAAACTCCACAGCAAACATGTATTAAGACATAAGTTCACAAAAGTACACAGGAGGTACCGGTTGTCTCCGTTGTGCTCTGAAGCTCCACTGAGTCCTGTGACATCCTGTTGGCCTGAAATGACACAAATCCCAGCACCTGAACCCAACCCTCCAGATTCTCCTCTCCTCCCCTCCGACCTCTGACCTCCGAGTTGGCCGTTCAAGTTGACCTTGGGCACTGCCCCGCTGGCTCGGATTCTGTCTCTGTCTGCCAGAGCTGTGGATGGCTCTGGCAGGGGCTCTTCCTCCTCTACCTCAACATCCTCCTCTTCCTCCTCCTCTTCCAGCTCCATGATAGAACCACTGGCCCCACTGGCTCCGCTGCTGGGACGGCCTAAGCTGCAGGGGAGAGAGAGTGTGGCTCCCTCTGAGTCATCTGCGCGGCTGCTGCCGTCCAGAGAGGAGTCCTCTACAGTGACCAGAGAGGGGCTGACGCCCGCAGGCCACACCTGCACATCCGACATCTCCAGGAGGGTGTCCTCCTCTGTGGTGGCTATAGGCGCACACTCCAGGCTGGACACTTCCTGCCAGTATGGCTCTACATTGAGTGGTGAGGGCAGGCTGTACTGCATGGACGCGGGGGATAGCAGCTCCTCTTGCACCAAGCCATATCCTGCATGGAAAAGAGGAGCAAGACCACACGCTAACAACACGCACAGCCAGGCTCAGGGCTCAGCTATGTCCCAATGTGTCACATGGAAGTCTCACATTTGGCTGAATGAAGAGCATTTGTTTTATCCAGATATGCCCTTGTGCATGAGCAATTATTCTAACATCCCATAATTCAAAGTCCACAATGGAGCTCAACAGTCCCGCCCACTCTGAAGTCTGTTCTGGTTCTGGAAGTACATTTTCCAAAAATTTTTTTTTAGACATTTTGAAAAATTCTAATACTAAAATTTCAAAGGCAGTGCAAAGACTAACCAGTGACATGATAACTAAAGCATGTTTAAAATGCACAAAATTCTGCTGAATGCTTAAATAGCTTTGCAGTTTATAAAGTTTTCAGAAACACACATACAACTGTGTGATTTGGTACTACATAGCTTAATAGCCCAGAGCTAACTTACAGACTTCTACTTTTTCCCCAGAAAGTCTATGGGAAAAATGAATAGGAAATTTACATCTGGAACCGTGGGGTGGGCGGTCACTGTTGAGATCCATTACAGTGTTTCATTACTACAGAATTACAGAGAACCCCTTGAAGTCATTTGCCAATTTGTTTTAATTAAAATAGTATAACTTTAAAACAGGTAAGCTTTCTTCCATTGGGACACAGTAGCAACAGTGACAAAAACGTGTTAAATTCAGTGGTAAATTCAGTCTGTTAGGTGAGGCCAGAGGCCTTTGCCTAACTTCATGTGATCAGGAGTTCAGTTTTTGTGGTTTTTAAGAAGGGAAAGTGGTGAGTGCTTCTGGGGTTGGCACGATACTCTTTTGTTAGCCTTAAATATATTTTTAATGACATTTATTATATGTTATATTGTCTCAATAGAAAAATACCATCCTCATATTACTTAGTAATGTAATGCATACTCTGTGCTGCTACACAGCCAGTGTGTACAGAAATGAGTATCGTTACAACCCATAAAGCACTTATAAAGTTGTGGAAGTAGCATCTTACTTTTTGTGGAAATTGCAAGTTACAGTTGATCTTGCAAGTTAGGATATCGGAAGATAAAAAAAACAAAACAAAATAATAATAGTAATAAAAATTTATAGTAAATAGTAAAAAAACATGCCCATTTTTTCTGCGCCCCAAATGATTAACAAAAAATAGGCCAACATAAGGAAAAACAAATATTTAAATTTACAGAAATAAATCTAATGAATTAAAGTCTGTTAAAAGTTTGCCCCTTCATTTGAATAAAGACAATTTTATGTTTTCTGACAAATGAACAAACATTTAATGTACTTTTATCATGGACACACACACACAGTCAGACAAATACACACAGTGACTAATGCTACACAAAATACTGCTACTCTCAACACCTTCTTTAATGGCATTGGTAACATGCTTTGCCTCATACCTGAAATTAATGTGTATATATATATATATATATATTTTCATAGAGGAATATATTCTCTGAATATAATGATACAGTTATATGCTAAAACTACATAAATGTAGTCTTAAAGGTACAGTATGTAAACTTCTGGAGGTGGTGTGTCACCTGATTCCATGGAAATAGAAAGCTAAAACCATACTTCAAAGCATTCCCCATGGAGACAGATATGTTGGAAGAATATATCAAAAATATTTCTATGAAAACCAGCAGTGGAGGCCTTTCCAAGGCTAAATAAGAGTCAGGTTTGTGAAGATGCAAGCCCGCTCACAGCAGGGATGCATGTTTTTTTTTTTAATTTTAGACAAAGTTTTGGCTGAAAAGTTACATACTGTGCCTTTGAATGAGTAAATGAAATGGCAACATTATCTAATTCAGATGAAATAAATGGCAAGAACATAGTATAATGTGAATGTGTTTGTCTAATCTATGGTAATGTTTCTGTTCCTGCTTTTACAATCCATTCCTCACATTTTCAATGCCAGTAATTACATTCAACCAAATGTTGAACCAGTCTATACTCTTGCATGAAATGGCCTAGAGTAGGTGCGTGGAGTCAGAGTGTGCTTCTGGGATGGGAAAGGGCCACATGTGCTGAGGTGGGTTCAGAATGAGATGAAGGGCAGGGTTGAATGAGTTGATTCTGGGTATGGCTTTCCTTCACTCCTTTTGTTTTATACAAACACATGTGTTAAAGGTACATCAAATGGTGAAGCACAATGCCCACAAAGACTGCTATGGCACATGGAAACACAGCACACTGACCACAGCGCACACACACACACACACAGAAAACTGACAGAGACTGAATATTAGTCACTCCATAGAACCACTGAACAACAGTGACACACTTTATTCACACGTGAGTCTGGAAAAACATCCACACACTGAGCTACACACAGCACTCATGTAAACTGCGGCAGATAATGTTTAGACAATGCTACAAGACTGTCATCAAACCAGGGCAAAATATCCCATTTTTATTACCAAAAAGACCAGATTTTATTTTTGCTATACTGCCAAGCCCATAAGCAAAAACTGAGATTGGCCACTACATTGATTTTATGAATAATTAAGTAAACTGTGGTGTTTTTTGCCCAGAGATTGAAAACATGTTGCATCATTGATCCTAACATTATGTGCTTTAAGGCTTGCCCTGCAAGCCTGGTCAACCATAACAACATTCCCTGCACATTCTGTATAGAAAGAAAAATCTGGTACTGCCTTTTTTAACAAACAAATGAGAGGCATGTGCTGGGTACCTGCTCACTGCATTCACTTCAAGTGGAGACAGCAGGAGCTAGCAAATTTTGTCTTATGGGGAAACAGACCTTTTTACAAATGTTTATAAAGTTCGGTTGCTATGGTCATGTGATCTAGCAAACTATAGTAGAAAAAAGTGGATTGGGTAGGGCCATCATTTTGGCTGTTTTAATTGAACAAATTCTGACGCTGATGTGCTGTGTTGGAAACTCCCTCCCCACATTGTGATTAATTCAGTAAGATTTACTGAAGGGAGTAAGGCCTTAATGAAGCACACCAGACTAAAGCTCTCTGTTTGAAATATGACAGGAAGAGGTTTTGGTCGACCAGGCTGTTGCCCTGTTTCACTTCAGTAATAAAACACAGTTTTTACTTTACATAAAAAGAAAGGGAACATTTGTCTCTAAATATAGCACTGTAACAATACTCTCTGTTTTCATTTATTAGTATATTTAACCATTTACACAGTGAAGTAAACTCAAACATGCCATGCACATAAAGAAAAAAAAATCTATTGTAATTAGCACATTTCCTTCTTTAACTAATCACACTAGTACTGTGAACTTTAAACACAAAAATGTGTTATATCCATAGCAAATGTTATAAAAATGTATCTAAAATATTCTATCTGCACATCTCTGCATTCTGCATATCAAGTGTTTAGAACAGTTTAGCACACACACAGAGCAGGCACAAGTACAAAAGAGTTGTAGCCAAGCATGCAGCATGCTCATGCACAGGTGTACTTCTACACATAGAGTTGGACTAAGAGGAGGAGAGGACCGAGGAGCGCAGGAAAATAAGATGACGAGAGAAGGAGGCCCAGAGGTCAACATGAGGTCATATGAGGTCAGAGGTCGGACAGGAAGAGCTGTGAGGAAGAAGAGCAGGAGAGGGTAGGAGGAAGAGGAGCGGGCGGCTGTGTAGCAGATATGACATGTCACAGATTTAAAGGTAGACTGAGATTCTCCAGAGAAAAAGACAAGTCTTCAGACAGAAGAAAACGAACATGAGCCTTTGTCTTTTTCTCTGGCAGCAGAGAGAAAGAAAAGAGACAGAGCAATAGAGACAAAGAATGAAGGCCCAGAGCATACTATTATATTTGAACTAGTGCCATTTGGATAAGCTTTTCCATCCCAGACAAACACACAACCAACTGCGGCTAAAATGTTTTCACAAATACTAGCAGTGTAATATTATAATTACTATAAAGTTATTATTAAAGGACTATTTTATTTTTTCCGTATAGCATAAACATTTTTGTTTATTGAAAAAGGAATTGGTCGCTTTTAGAACAGTTTTCATTTTTGGTGCTGCTCTCCAACAGATATTTTGCATTGTACTTTACTTTATTGATTGGCGGTTTTCTGTGTGTCTTTGTCTTAGTGCAGTTTATTTGTCAATACTTATCAAGAAAAATCATTCATGATAGAAACCAAAGCAGAGATCATTTAACTTTATCTAAGTGAACTTCCCACTCTATTAGTACTATTAGAAAACAAGGCTTAGCACTGAGATGTTTAAAGCACAAGAGATTTTCCTCATAACTCATATAGGGACAGAAGAATATAAACCATCATGTTAGGGCTTAGGCATGAAGAGTGAAAACTTCAACATAAAATGAATGTGTTTAAAACGTGAGTCTCAGAGCATGCTGAGAAAGAAGTTAGGTCAAGTTAAACCTTTTCTCAGCTTTCAGTATCAGAACTTTGGGTTCATCATTGTCATTCTGTACAAGAGCAGCAAACCACCATGCAGCCAGGAGGCCCTTCCACTTACCCCTTCTGAAAAACGGGGGCCTAATAACTCTGGGCTTGTGCACAAAGCGTGATGGCCTAGTGTCCGTGATCTCTTGTGGGGCAACAGAGACAAGGCAAAAGGCTGTTACCCACACTAATGGACAGTACTGCTTATAAAAGTTATTGTCATGTTTTACAGACTAAAAAGCACATAGTATCTATATAATATCTTGAAATCTGTGTATGAATATGTGAAATTAAATTTAATAATTAGAATTATTTTTATCCAAATAATTAAAATATGTTTTTATTGGAACTTAACCATACTAAAATCACAGCAGTTGCATATGTTATTTGTATGTTACTGTTTAGTTATGTTTGGTTCGTCGCATACCATTGAGGACACTGGGTGACAGTAGAGTGGAATCTCGTTCTCCAAGGCGACAGGCCCCCTCCTCTGAAGAAGCAGGGGCTATGGATGGTGCCTGCCCCTCTATAGAGCTCACAATATCTGCACGGTCAATGTTCCTCAATGCTGTGTACAAACTCTCCACTGAAAGAATCAATAGAGAGGACAATGTGAAATTTGAATAATTATGACTTTTTTTTGTGGAAAAAACCTAGCGTAAATATTTATCATAGTTTTCCACAAGTCAAGTGGCAGTTTCTGAGAAATAAACAAATGTACAAAAATACAGGAAGTACCGATGAGTTGTAAAACAAAATCTGACTACCTTTGTCATCTATATCAAAAATACCATCTAAAAATAATTTGCACACAACACATTTTTCTGGCAGTTTAAACATTAATTTAACAAAATAAAGGTGTTGTCATTTTTATTAGTCTAATCATAACTCTTGTGCAGTTTTTACATTATGGTTGCAAGGTAATAGTTATGAAATTACTACTATGTATGTCATATCTGTTGCCTGTGTTTATCAGAAAGTCAAATTACTTAAAAAATGTAAAATAAAACGCAACACAGTGCAGCGCAGGACACATTATGGAAGCTCACTGCAGGCGCAGGTGGGAGCGGGACTGCACAACGCGGGAGCAGGCGGGTGGGATGATAAACTGCAGTCCCGCAAACTAAATATGAGTGTAAAGTAAAATATACAAATGATTCATGTTTGTCTATCATACATTATTTGTGCTGGATATTTTATTTGGCATTAATAAAAACATTTTAAGCAGCTTAAATTTGCAGATGTGGTCTAATCTCGCTAAAACTAAAAAACTGGGCAAGACTTTTTTGTATAACACTGTAATTATAATAACTATATTTAAGTGAAATTATGAAATATAGTGAACCTATATTTGCACTTCAAATAGAGCAAAAGTAAAAACTGGACTTACTTTTAGCCCTTTTTCCTTCTCTGCTGGCCCACAAATTCAAAAGGGCTGAGCTCTGGTCAAGCAGTGAGTTGGGATTTTCCACACGGATCCGGTTGATATCGTCCACTCCAAACTGCAGCTCTCGGGCCAATTCTTTGAGATAAGGTAGAGAAATGAGAGCATGACCAAAGACATCTACTAACTTTCAGTGGAAGCGTGACATACCTGCCCAGCTCAAGCCCAGTTGTTCTGATATGAGGTTGATTTTAAGCTCTGTTCTCTCCATGGCGTTTACAGCAGCTAAAATGAAAAACAAAAAAGTTACAAAAACAAGTAAAATAAGACTACATTCAGGCTTTAAAGAGGGGGTATTACTTCTATGGGGTATTCATAGCAAACACATGCATATTTAGATCACCATGTTACTTTTTTTGTTTTTAAAATGATATGATATTTGACAAAAGCAAGGTATTAACATGTTTTATAAGTTCCTCACTCCCTTTGTCCTCTGTGCTAAGTCGATCCCCTTTAGAGTGCTATCACAGCACAATCAGTGTGAATCCCTAAAATGAAACTACTGCACCTCCCATCAGAGCATTTTTTATAATGCACGTAGGCTTGTGGGCTGAGCATTGGACAGACTCATAACTAACCATATGTGGGGGGGTGGCCCTATTCGAACCCTCCATACATTACAAACATGCATGGATGACATCTAAAACTTCTTCAGGCACTCTTACCGCTTTTTAATGAGGGAATAATGTTATAACATGGTAAAAAGCTCCAAAAAGTCAATTTTGCTAATACCCCCTCTTTAAAGTTGAAATCTTTTCACTGTAGCTCTAATTTTAGCAGATTTGTCCAATATTTCAGTTTGAGTAAGTTATCTTCATTGCATGCTATATACACTTACCTTATAATATGAATTGGCCTCTTGGATGGGCACCCATAACATAATTTGTGACCAAATATTTTTCAGGATTAGAAAACTTTCTGGGCATAGGGGTTAAAATTAAAGGCTCATTCCAGTGCTAGTCCCATCTAAATTGCATTCAGTAATCATTACAAAGGGACTCGAGCAATGTAGCAGTGCTGTGCCCTATAGACAGAAAAGGCCTCCCCTCAACATGGCTGACAACATTGTGTAGTATTTGTGCAGGCCAGATCCTCTGTCTAGCTCCACTGTGAGCTCCTGCCCATTCCCAGTGCAAAGCAACAGTGAGACTGGTAACTGCTGCCATGCCATTGGAAGTCACAGTGGAGACAGCAGCACCATGCAAAACCTCATTCAAGTTTACAAGCTACGTGGACTACTCTAGAGCAAAGAGTCCAAGCTACTGAGAGCTACGGAGCAGTTAAGGGCATGACGGGCAGCGAAATCTGTGGCGCACATTCACTATCTTAGTATCTGCACTGCAAAGAGGACCGGGGCATATTTTAGAGCAGTGCATTGCATCCAAGACTCAAGTTTCTGTGCCATGCTTTGACCAGATAAATCAGATAAGGGGGATTATAGAGGGCAGATTGGGAAGCAGAGAGATGTGGGTAAAGGGACAATGCAACATTCAAGACCCAGCTCCACAGAGTGTATAAGAGGAGAGGGCTGGAGGTCAGGCCGGGTTCAACTCACCCACACCAGGCTCATTCAGGGCACTGTAACGCTCCCGCAGAGCCAGAGGAGTGAGAGTTCGCCGCCGCTCCTCACTGCCAGCCACCTACAAACAAGTAACACACACTTTTTCAATAGTTATACAAATAACAATATCTTCAAATCTACACTTGCTTTAGAATGTGTGCCAGGTGTACGCTAACCATGTAATTCCCTACCTTGACACAAGGTGGCATGGTTATGTTCAGATTACACAGTACGTGCTGTGTATCTTCATACTTGGTGCACTTCCGCAGGAAGGACAAAAATCCTGTGGCATCCTTGTTACTGTCTCTGACCTAATGCAGAATAATGAAATAAAAGACAAAAATATGTGGATAACAGAAAAGTTTAAAGCAAAATGAAGTTATTAAAGAAGCAATGGGCAAAATTAGAATGAATTAAAACAAAACAAATACAAAAAGAAAATAGTTGAAAGCAAGGATAAGGAAAAGAAAGGAGATGAAAAGAAGTCGAGTATTAGAGAAAGTCTTAAATCTCTGGCTTGTGGAACAGTTACATGGACAAGGAGCAGGGGGAAAGCAGTCCACAGGCAGGCGAGTGGGAAAGATTTACCTGCACTTTACCTGGACGTCTGTCAGACCAGACATTACAGAGTGACCGTGAGAGAGAGAAAGAGAGACAGTGAGACACACAAACGGACAGCACGGCCGCAAGAACAGGAGGCAAGCCCACACAGTGAGGGAGTCACAGGCATGCAACATATACCCCACATTGACACTTAGACTACCATAAGGAGACAAGGCCTGTCTGCTGAGACTACACAGACTGTACAACAACAAAGCAGGCAAGTTGAACTTAAAAGCACATTCTCAATAGAACATACTAAACATAATAAAATGTGCTCTGTCTATTTTTAAGTCTAATTTTTAAGTATATAGCAAAAGTCAATACTAAAATTATGCCCAAGAAGTGGAGTAATACTTAAAATCATTGTAATAAATATATAATTATGATTTGTCTGACAGCAAGTATTCAGATGGTGGTTAAATCTGTAATTTAAAAATAACAGATTTTGAAATAATTTCAGAGAAAACTGAAATATGATCTGCTAAGCAATACATGAAGACAATACAAGAGTAACAAGGGACAATATAATAACAAGGGACAATATAACACCAAAATAACAGCCATAATGTTAATGTTAAGCCATAAAAAAAAAAAGCTACTTCAATTATGATTAATCTTGCAGCCCTAACCTGGTCTCAATTTCAAATTCATCACAGTGAATTCATATAACACATTTAAATTTGGTTAGTAAACTAGGTAAATTGTATGAATTGTATACAGTACTCAAATCAACTTTAAGGAAACATATATCATACAAATGCTTACTAGACATAATGTATAACTACTTAGCTCTGGCCTTTAATGTGAATGAAAAGCCACAACACATGTTACAGCAGAGTGAACAAGAAAGTCTATCTGAGAAGAAGACTTCTCTAATGACACAAGTGTTTCCATGCTTAGATGTGAGAGCAGTGAGACACAAACAGACCTTAACAGACACAGGCAGCCTGTTATCTCTGAAGGCCTGGAAGCTAAAGCTCCGAGGCTGTTGTGTTGCCTTCCTGATGGGCACCAGGTTCCCAGAACACTCCAGATGCAGAGGCATGCCCTCCATTAGCTAGCAAAGGTATTACAACATATTAGAGTAGGTCAGTCAATTCTGTTGAGCAGCTAATGCACAGAGAGCATTAATGGATTCAGCTAAAAGCATCCGAAAGTGCTAACATCTGCCAAGACCTTTCCCAGTGGATTCAAGGATGTGTAGAGTTGTCTTCAATTTGTCTTTTAACAGCAGAGGTTTGATTTTGGGCCATAGCAGGACACACAGTCACCATTCTACTGTAACTTTAATTATGTAAATCATAAACAGCCATAGTCAAGTTAATGGACAATGGACAATTAGTGTAGTCCTGATCAGTATTTCTAGATTCAGTTTCCACAGCCAAACAGCTTGCAATGATATTCAAACATACCACATGCACAGTATTTAGTCCACTTTTAAGTCTCAAGCCATTGAATGTAACACCCCCCCAACTAAGGAAATTAAATAATAATTAAAGGCCTGTATATTATATTTTCCAATGTATTTGAGCAAAGCATAAATCATTTTATTGAATACTTGCATGCATAATGTAAGTAAGGAATAACCATTGCAAATAGTTTTGACTGTTACTGATTTTCATGTTTTTAAAACAGCACCTTCAAACAAAAATGTCTCCAGAAGTATACCTCAATGTCTCTACTGCGAGCCACCTCCGTGAAGTTCTCATGCAATTCCAAAGTTTTGTCCATTTTATCATCGGTCATGCAGTAACACCGCAGCCGCCCCTCTCGTGCTTCATTCATTTTTGCGAAAATAACAAACTTGGCCATATAAGGAACAGCCATTAGCTCTTTGTACAGCAGATTGGCAAAGGTTACCGCCTCTGCTGTTCGTGGACAATCAGCCAGCCAGAATCTATAAAGAACAACAAATTATTTTTAACATATTTAACATATTATTTTAACATATTCCATATTCTTATACTGTATACTATATATACTACTATATATAAATGTGTATACAAGAACAATAATTTAAAAAGGGTCACCTTGCAGAGACATTAGTAGTGAAGTTGGCACAGTTATTTGCATACATTAGTTTGGTGGTTCCAGTAATGTCTTCCCACTGAGCTGGAGCTGTCCCACCTAAAAACATAAAACATGTGTGCATGTACACATAGACGGTCACTAATCTGAATAAAGTAGCACAATCAGGCCTGTCACGATAATTACTATACCGTTGCCTTAACGTTTAATAAATTAAACTGAAACATTATTTTTGGGGCTAAATATATATCACATGTATATTTTCATTGTGCTAGCGTGGATTTTTTTGCTTCTTTTTTTTGAAGTAACTTTTACAGTATTGTACATTTAAAATATGTTTTTGAAAGTTTATCCTACTTCAAGGTTATTGTATCAGTGACATAAATTTGTTTCAGTATTATCATTTAGTGTCTATTTTCTTCAGCAATATATCGTACTTTAAAATTTGTTATTGTTACAGGCCTAAGCACGATATCAAACGAAGGTATTTAATTCCCACCTATGACACTGCACAGGAGTCGTAAACTGGTGGTATCTCCCTCCCCAGCGTCTCGAGGACTCTCTCTCCAAGATGGCGGCAGTGGGATCCTCAAGCCGATTGGACGGTGAAATTTGCGCCTCCGAGGTTCAATGGTAACAACTGGGCTGAAAGTTGCCTGGTTACCAAGCTGCCGTGTTAGCAGCTCATCAGGGATTGGTTGGGCCTAAAAAAAAGTGAATAGAATAATGTTATTACAAAACCATTGCAAAAGAAAAAAGGAATAGGGGTTAATCTGCATTCTTCCCTTTTTTAATTAGTTTATGATGATTATTTATGCTTTACATTTGTTTCTGTTTTCATGTTTTTCTTATTCAGTAAAGCACTTTGAATTACTTTGTGTATGAATTGTGTTTTACAACTAAATTTGTCTTTCTTTGCCATAGATAGTATAACGTAAAAGTGATGTCAACATGTGAACAGCTTCTATCCATTCAACCCACAGTCAAAATCACATACAACCAAATCATATTTCACATCTCACCCAACTCAGATCAGTGCACCAGCCTGGTCAGTGTGGCTCACAACTTAAATCTGGCAACTGAGGAGTGAAGAATGGCTGGATAAAAGGAAAACATAAAGAGAGCAGCATAACTTATGAGCATGCATGTCAAAACATCAGTGCAATGACAAAGCAATCTGTTCACAAGTGACAACTAAAAGCAAAACATATGTGTAATGGAAGTAATATTTGCATGCAGCTGTTTGAGAAAATGGAAAAAGTTTTTGCAGATGCTAAAAAGAGTGACAGATGACTACCGGTATGTAACGATCTTGCTTCTCGAGGCTTGTTTACTGATTAAAAGGTCCTATATTATACAAAACAGATTATTGTGAGCTTTAAGCCACATTAGAATATTGTTACCTCATCAAAAACACACCCGGATTTGTGTTTTGTTTCATTCACAAATGACTAATCCTTTATTACTAGTCTGTCTCCATCCCTGAAGTTCAAAATGCTCTGTAACACCTTGTGATGCCATGTAATGGTATTTTTCAAATTAACATCTACCTTTTACCTTTTTTACCTTCAGTAGAAACTGGCAATTCCAGGTCTGAAATCATTCAAATGATTCTAGTGAATATCTATGAAATTTAAAATCACATAGGCAAGGCGAGGAAGGTTTATTTGTATAGGACAATTCCTATATAAAGTACATTGGTGCACTTTCTGTATTACCACATGACATAACAAGGAGGAATAGAGTGTTTTCTGTTTGTGAGAAGCAACTCCACGTATGTTTGTGATGGAAACAACATTATAAGATAGATCCGAAAATAGCATAATATAGGCCCTTTAAAACATTCGTCATTCAAGTGTTGTTTTCTGTGTACATTTGTCCACAAAGAACAGTAATGCTTAATTTTAACTAGAGCTGGGCATTTAGTAATTGAATTGAGATCAAAATTCAGTCACGTCTAATTATCAGTGATCAGAATGGATCTTTTTAATGAAGTGATCTGCAGCCAGTCCTGTGTCAGTAAAAGCATGGTATTTGGAGTTCAGACATTGGATGAAGACATTTGTTAAATTGTATTGATTAAAAGTCTGTAGTATTTATGTTCAAGAAAAGGCTATTTTATTTTGTTTTTGACACAAAAAAATCTAATTAAAAAAAAAAAAAAAAAAAAAAAAATATATATATATATATATATATATATATATATATATATATATAATATATATATATATATATATATATATATATATATATATATATATATATATATATATATTTCGATTCATTGTTTTGCTATATGTCCCAGACCAATTTTTAACTACAACAATTAACAAACTGAAGTAAAAAGTGATAAACACACTGTCTGTGCTCAGAACTGCTTCCGCCACATCCAGCCTTTATGAATGATAGCACAATTTCCACAGTCCACTGACACATTTATCATGGCGACAAGCAATCATTTTGTGGAGGTGTCAACTGTGAAAACCAAAGCGCTGCTGCTGCCCCAACAGAAGCCCACATGTAAGCGTCTGGCACAGACCACTGAGTCAGGCTCAAAGTAAGCTGTTTTAGGATTTCAAACAGCTGTCCTCAATGTTTGGTAAATCACTGCAGACTCTTTGTGTTGGAAAAAAAACAAACAAAAACAAATATTCATGCAGTGAGCAAATGAGCTGCAAAATCCAACAGATGCTGAACTTTTCCACTTTTGAATTTTTATGACTCTAGACATTTTTTGCATTATCTCACTAATGATATTCAGATATTTTAACAATGCATCAGGAATGCGCTATAATGTGCCAGTAAATGTCTTGGTTGGGATTCAAGTCTCACACTAATGGACTATAAAATGAACCACAAAAGAGTACAAACATACTTCAATCTAACCGTGTTTGGGAGATTATATTTACCATTTGAACCATTCGGAAAAAACTTTATTGTGATTTGTCTGACACGAATTGCAATTGTGATTAGATTTAAGATTTATGTTTCAATAATAAGATTCTTTTTGAAGATCACATTTTAAATGTATCCTGAAGAATTGACAAAAAGACTGAAATATGAATAAATGAACTAATACAAGAATCACATTTCATGTTAGCGGAGTCATGTGACAAGCAAGTAATGGTGTGCTGGTGCTTACATTTCTAACATATATTTCTAAAAATCAAATTTCAGAACATGTTTGTACAGATCTAAACTACAGGGTAGCAGTTATTGTTTGTTTTTTTAATGACAGGATATTTTGCTGTTTGTGGGGAAAAAAAATATGATTATGATATTGCGATTTGCATCCGATCAAATTCATCAATTTTGCACACCTCAAAAATGTGCTATATTATCAATTTCTCTATATATCTCCCATCTCCACTCACTAATCACTCAGTATACTTGCCTGCAACCCCAGTCTCACTCTCTTGGTCACAGCGGTCTCAGGGAAGATGGCCTCGACGTGGGGAACCAGTTTACTCGTGAGCCGGCCCCCCTCTGGACCAATGAGATCACTCTCCTGCTGAATACGAGAAACCACCGCAAAGTAAAGAGGGAAGTCTGTGGAGATTATCCTTCTAATTCTTTTCTTCTCCAGCTCCTCTTGACTTTCCAAATCTGTAAATAAGAACAGTTGAATTCAGAAAGTAAGATTTACAAAAGTTAATCAGCACTAATCATACAAACGTCACAGCAATGTCCGGTTACAGTTACATAAACATACATTGCATCCTTGCTAAGGCTCAAAACCATAATTCAACAGTAAAATGGACTTGTATACTGCAAGTACAAGGTCTTAGTGACAGAGAGAAACATATTTCAAACACACCAACCTTCATCCATGCCATTCAAAATGGTTTCCAGCACTTCGTCACCATAACGATTGCGATGTTCCTTCCACACTGAACCATTTTCGCTACGCAGGATCACAAGCTCGCGGTCCCCATGACCAAGCGAAGCAAAGTGGGGGATTTCCACAATGACCGGTCTGATAACAAAAGAAAGAAAAGAAGGTGTGTATAAAGTCATTGCAACTACAATACAACACTGTAACTACAATATTGAACTAAAATGATGATCCATTAATTTCCTGTTCAAAACTGCAGAACTATTACCTATCTATTACCTGTTTATAGTAGCATTTCACTGTAGCAAGCAACAGAATTTCATGTATGTGTTTTATTATTGAAAAATGGCTAAGTGACATTTGTAACCCTGCATGTATGATATGCAGTCTGAAAATTTTAAGAATTGCAAGTAAAAACAGAGCTATGAGATGAATACTGAATTTTCTGAGAACTCAAGCCTCAGAACAATACAAGATCACTCAAAAATGCATGAATAAATCAAAGGTAATACTGAGGGAACTAAGTTATAACATGGTTAAAAGCTTAAGTTATATAAATGTAAATCATGTTACTAACCCAAGGAACTGCATACTGGATGGCCCTAAAGAGATGATTCGACTTGCGAGTCCCTCCCCCTCCACCAGAGGAGGGGGGGTGGTGAGTTTCTGGGGTTTGACCAGTCGACAGGTGATACGTGTGGGAGCAGCACAGGTCCGTGGAGGGATGATGACACGCAGGCCATGATGTCTGCTGCCTCGCATGGAGCCACCACGAGCGTCCACCATGAAGCTCACCAAGAAGCTAAAATACAAGTCACACAGGTAAAGTGATGGTACCCCAGTAGACTAGTATCAGATACTGATAATAAGATTGTATAGATAATAAGATATTAAGGTCCCACACTGTAAACTCTGTCAAAAAAGCAACATCATAATACAGTAACTTTTACTTGGTATGCGACTATCTGTGCAACTATCTGTCTAAGAAACAGGAAGGTATTTAAAACTCACCCAGTGTGAATAGGGCTGGCCACTGGACTGACATTGTCTGAAGTCTCTGTAGCAGGACTGCTCGGGATAAGAGAATCCTCATCATATTCCTTTGGTAAAGGAACAGGGGTGTGCTAAAGTCAGGAAAAATAAACAAAGGCAAAAAATTTGAGGTTTTAAAGTAATAAATCAAACAAACAAACAAACAGAATTTCATAAATACCACTTCTTTTAAACTAACATACCTGATCTAATAGGACTGTCTCTGGAGAAACACATGGTATTCTAGGAATAGCTGGGGAGTAAGGCCTATAAAACAGAACAACAGTATTATAATATTAAAGACATGTATGCTTATAATTTATTCTCATTTTAAACATGATATGGGCATCTTAGACCTACGTTGTGCCCATGCCTCCTTCGAAGTCTCGAAGGGTTTTCTTTGGAGAAAGAAAATCATCATCTTGATCCTTGAAGTCATCAAGCTTTAAATACCTGGCACCATCCATTCCAAGCAACTCATCCCCTTCAGAAAGATAAGAAGAAAATGTATAACAAATTGAAAGGACAAAAACTGAAAAAAGTCAGTTTATTAGTAAGAAAGGATAGCATGAGAGAAAGTTGGGTAGGGTTTTCTCTACTATTAAGAGGCTTATAGGTTTATCATTACATATTGGAAACAAGTGTCAATTTCACTTCAAATGGATTCCTATTAACCTTCCCATTCCTTCACCTTGACAAAACATAGAAATTGCAACAAACTACAAAGCTGAAATTTGAAGCAATGGTTAAAACCAATAACACTGAGGCCAATGAAAGCTGTGGAGTGGTAGAAGTTGACTGATAAAACAGACTAGCACAGTTTCATACACTGCATGGATTGCAAGGCACCTGGTGACAGCTTTTTAGTGAACATGCCCATTAAATATGATATAATGTTATTGTCTTTATACAGAAGAAAGAATTGCAATTAATAAAATATGACTGAAGACATTGAAATGATGTATATACACAGACAAGTCAGGTTTACTAAGCCTGGCTAGGCAGAATGAGATTGTCTTCCATCCAGAGAAATGCAGTACATGACGGCCAGATTGCATAGATCTATTTCTAGCACTAGTTTTGTTGGCACCTTGAAGTGTTTTTACTTAAAAAGACATTTTGCCATATCACTGGGTTTGCTTGTAATCTCCCAGCTGTCTCCACTCGTAGTGAAGAGTAAGAACATGTGCACACAGTTCTCTGCTAGGTGATTACTTTACACCTTAAAATTCTATTCAAACATGGCCAGATTGAATTTCTCTCTATGGAATACAATGAGAGTCATTCTGGCTAGCCAGGCTAATTAACTGGTAATATAACTGTAAGTAGGCACTTGACATGATGCAAATCGTTTCAGTAGGACTTCCGATCTTCAAGTTTGAAAAAAGACAATTGCAACTTAATATAATGTAATGTCCGCTTGCAATTTAATTTAAAAAAGTTCAAGAAAGTTCAGAGTTTAAACATAAAAGTGTTGGAGTCATCAATCACTGAAGGAAACTGTGTTCATTAGGTACACAAGTACATACTGTACTGATGTTGAGTCTGAAATATAGAGTAATTTGCACATAAAAAGAGTCAAGTACTTAAATACAGAGGCAGGAGGAAAGCAAATTGAGGACAAAATTAATTCAAGTGTTAATTTGAGTTTAGCAGCATATTTGGGACAAATAAGTGTAAAAGAAAATCTTCATTTAGAATGGACTGCCCAACAAAGCCCAAAATGTTTTTTTCACAAATTCAGATTATTTTTCTTATGTTGTTGAAACATTTTCAGTGTCTAATGGGTTATGATTATTGCATTATTGTATTGTATTCTTGTATTGTAGAATGTGTAACATAGCCCTGGTATGATATATTGCTATTATAACATACTGACTTAGTTAGGCAGTTTGATGGCATAATTCTTGGAATAAAAAATAATAATGTTATAGACCTCTTGGTAATGAGTCCACGGACACATATGCAGTGAGTGCTGAGGGTAGAGATATGTGATGAGTAAAAAAACACTGACAAAACAATCTCAGAGCAGTTGCAGAAGGACAAAGATTTGTACAATCAGAAGAAGAGTGAACTGGAGTTGAAACGTTGAAAGCAGTCACAGGAACTTAGAAAGACAATTAGTGACGCACACAAAATAATGGCTATTGCAATGAAGGCACAAGTTTAGCAACTGGACCAAACCATTCAAAAATACAGACACAATCCTACCTAACGTTAGCTGGGCAACTCCTACAAAACAAATGGAAAATTATGTTACACAAGTCCTGACAAGAGATACAATTGTGCATTGCACTGTACATTGCAAAAGATTTGATGTGTGCATAATGTCACAACAGCCAGGACAAGCAATCTGTAAATAAATTGTTTTTAGAAATCACCAAAAAATCTTACCTTCATCTTCAGAAACATCCAATATCTCATCTACTGTTTCTGGGAAGCTCATGCGATGTTTTTCTGTGGTAATCTATAATTGGCAGAAATACACAGAAATGAGACAATCTGGCAAATCACTCAAACAGAGAAAAATAAAACTTCTTAATGAAATACTATCTGAGGGAGTATATCAGTGTGCTGCTGATCTCCTCACCATGGAAACGGACTCCTCGGTTACCAGTTTCAGCACATCAATGACAGAGATATAGCCCAGTCGCTTGGCAATACCCAGGGGAGAGGTCCCATTCTAATTATAGAAATATACACATTTATATTCACAGTCACATCAGGGTCAATTTCTACTATATTTATATATATATATTGACTGTACACAGGTAACAATACAATCGGGTATCTCTAGTGTAAGACCATTTTTGAGTATATTTCTACGTAACCACACATGAAGATTGGATATTTGAAGGATAAACGTCTTGTGTTTAATGTAAGTATTTATTTCTACTGCACAGTCTTACTGAAGTGATTTCATTTGGTTGAGCTCCATGTTTCAACAGCAAGGTCACAATGTCAGTATGGCCCTGCTGAGCGGCTTGGTGCAGAGGAGTGTAGCCCATCTGGGAAAGAAGAAAAGGCGAAGAATAACAACAAAGGTTAGTCCTCTATAAGAGGCTATGTTTACACACACACAAAGTCATGTAAACTGCTAGATCTGATTTGAGTAATCTGATTTCTCTTTGATTGTTCACTCCTACACAGATCTTACTCTAAGAATACATTGATTAACTGACACATTTGACCAGGTGTTTTTCATGATCACATTTCTCTTGGGCATTTAAACACACTACAAAAATCACATCTAATTATTGGTTTATTGATTATTCTTCTTATTTGTTGTTTTTACTAGCCATCTAAATGTACCTAGTGCTGATTATACATAAAAAATAAGGGATGTACAGTAACCAACAGCTGTGACAGTAACAGCTTACCCGTGTCTTGCTGTTTACATGTGCCTGCTGCTGAAGAAGAAACTTCACCATTTTGATGTTGCCATAGTGACAAGCCACATGGAGAGGTGTGTAGCCCATCTGAAACAATGCAAAAGACACTGATGAGTGATTTTATCTGTATTGGCATCAATGATGAGCCTAAAATCTGTGTCACATACCCGAGATGCAGCATACACAGACGCTCCGTGTTTGACTAATGCGTCTGCTATACCCACATGGCCCTCCTGAGCTACAAGATGGAGCGGGGTCAGTCCACTCTGAAAGAGAAATTAAAACATGTTCAATTTCTATTCAATATTGAGGTATTTATGTTTTTTATTTCATCCCCAGTACCTTGTTTCCCAGGTTAACATTGGCCTGTTTGGAGATAAGTAGAGCCACCATGTCAGGCCTCCCCTCTTGGGAGGCCAGGTGCAGGGGCGTGATGCCCTGGAGGGACTCAGCATTCGGTGATGCCCCATTCTGCAGCAGACAACTGGCCACCTCCATCTGGTTTTGTTTGGCTGCGATGTGCAAAGGAGTGTAACCATTCTGGAAATAAGGACAAAGGCAAGTTATTTATTATATTGTCTTAGCAATTTATAGGACATACGCAACACAATGCTATTTAGTTGTCCTGTTGTGTTGCCCAGAATAAACTGAAGCAAACTCTATGTGGCCATCTTACTCGGGCAGTGCTGTGAGCGGATCCTCCGTTGCTGACCAGGAGTTTGACAACATCCAGATTGTTGTGATGGACGGCCACATGCAGAGGTGTCAGACCGTTCTGTTAAACAGACGCATGTACACGTATAAAAGCCCACCTCCACAGACATCAGGGCCAAACACATAAAGAACATGTACATATGAAACATTTAGGCTTGTGACTAATCATTTGTGAGGAGAAGCAGATCTAATGTTTATACAGCATAATTGTGCTGCTGTTTCTGAGGGTCAGATAGGAGCACAGACAGCTCATCTCACCTTCCCAGCTGCATTCGGGTTAGCTCCTCTTTCAAGAAGGAGCTCAGCCACATCCACTTTTCCATATTTAGAGGCTACATGGAGGGGAGTAAAGCCTTTCTGTTGAGACAATTGAGAAAGCATTAAAGAAGCTATATTACAATACTACAAAATGACACTCTAACAATGGAAAAATACATTGTGTACTGTAATATTTTGTTAAAATATGTACTAATGTAAACTCGACCTTTGTCATCTTGGTCTGCTGTGCCCCGGCATCCAACAGTATTCTGATAGTGTGGACATGGCCCTCTCTAGCAGCGATGTGCAGAGGGGTGTGTCCTGCGGTGGTGGCTGAGTCAGGACTGGCCTTATGTTCCAGGAGCAGTTTTACCAGCTCTTTATGACCCATTCGGGCAGCACAGTGCAGGGGCGTCTGGTCATCCTGAACACAACACCATATTATGTTTATGTACAATGATAAAATACATATATATGTATATGTATATATATATATATATGTGTGTGTGTGTGTGTGTGTGTATGTGTGTATATATATATATATATATATATATATTTTATTATTATTATTATTTTTTTCTCCAAACAAGTAACAGAAATTCATTTGAAAATATGGACATTTGTTTCATGACCTACCTTTGCCTTTGCATCTACTTGTGCTGAATTTTGCAACAAAAACTGGGCAACTTCACAGTGTCCTGCCCGTGACGCCATATGAAGCGGTGTTTCCACTTTCTATGTAGAACAAAAATGCACAAGGCATGTGATTTACTGAGTGGCACTATGGGTTGTTGTATGTGAACTGAAAAAGTTCTTGTAGATGTAATATTGTTGAAATACACATATAAATCCAAACAAATATATACATAAAGTAGAACAAACTATCAGAATTGCCAAGACTTAGAATGATTTGTCATTGATATGTTGCTCACCACATTGGAAGCATTTGGTGACGCTCCTCTCTGGAGCAGATTTTTAACTATGTTCAGATGGCCCATGAAAGCTGCTACATGAAGAGGTGTGAGACCAGACTGCACATACAGACAAATAAAAGGTTTGTTCAGAACACATACAAACATACTTGATGACCAATTGCACTGCAGGTTTTCAGTTACCAAAGTAGTTTTAGTCTTTATTCTTATTTCATTACCTCTGTGACTGCTTCTAATGAAGCAGAGTGCTTTAGCAGAAGATCCATAGACCGCATGTGGTTTTTCTTGCATGCAATATGTAGAGGTGTGAAGCCATTCTGGAGCAAACAACGTCATCGTTACCATGTGCATCCAAAATAAATAGCTGATTGTATCAGTCTAAAATGTGCTAAAACCATCACGTACCAGAGCCCGTGCATTAGCTTTGGCTCCCTTGTCGAGAAGGACTTTGGCCATGCGGTGGTGGCCACAATGGGCTGCTACATGAAGAGGAGTTAAATGGTCCAGAGTGATATCATCTATTTCAGCGTTGAACTGGAGAAGCTGCCTGACACAGTCCATGTGATCCCCCTGAGCTGCCATGTGAATCGGGGATAGCCCATTCTGTAAGAGAGTCAACACAATAGGATTAGGCTGACACCATATAATGAGCCATCTGAAAGAGTACAGAGAGAGATTCACATTCATACAAGTGCAGTTCAAGTGAAGAACGGGCAGGCCACAAAACACATCTTAAAGAGGTTATCAGACCTTTGTTTTTGCTTGAAGTGGAGCGCCATGTTCCAGGAGAATCTCAATAATGCGAACATGGCCATTCCTGGCCGCACAGTGGAGAGGTGTCAGCTCATCCTAAATGTGAACAGAAAAATAATTTATAGAAAAATGCAAATATCAAAAGACTCAATCAAAGTGTTTTTAGTCATTTGAAAATACCTTAGTTTTGGCATCGATCTGTGCCCCTCTGTCCAGCAGGAGTCGGACCATCATCATATTACCCCTCCGGGCAGCTATATGAAGAGGTGTGATGCCATTCTAATAGAGTAAAATAACATTGTTTAGAAACAAAAAATATCACAGGTATGTAATGTTGAAATAATATTTAATAACCAAACTGACCTTAGGAGTAAAATTTACATTGGCCCCTCTGTTGAGCAACAACTGGGCAACACTCATGTTCTCGTAGTGGGCAGCAATATGCAAGGGAGTGAAACCAGTCTGCAAGCAAGAATTATTTTAATACTTGTACAATGTTAGCTTGTGTTTTTGTCTTATATTGCGCAAAATTGACTCTTGTGAGCTTTTAGCCATGTTTGAATGTTGTTACCTCATCAAAAATACCTGGAGTTGTGTTTTGCTTTCATGTTTGATTAACTTTATTATTAATCTGTCTTCATCTCCAAAGCTCAAAATGCTCTGTTCCATCTCGTGATGTCATGAAATTGTAGTTTGCAAGTTAACAGCCATCTTTTAAATTTAGTTAAGTAGAGACTGGCAATTCCAGGGCTCATTTTATTCAAATGATTCTAGTGAAGGTGTATGGAGTTTAAAAACACAGTGGAGCTCTTGCTGTTTGAGAAGAACTCAACCTAAGTATGCAGGGTTTGTGTGTAGAAACAAAACATAACTCCAGGTATGTTTGTGATGAAGAAACAAATAGCATAATGTGGGCTCTTTGATGAATACGTTACTATACCTTGCTGAGAACATCTGGGTTGGGGTCATTTTGCAGCAGGACAGCAGCCGTTCGTGTATCATCGTTTCGTGCGGCGATATGCAGCGCGGGGAGGCGAACTTTGCCTTTTGTCCCGTAATTGATGAGCAGGGCCACCACATTTTCATGGCCTTGTTGGAGGGCTACAGCCAAGGGAGTGAAGCCATCCTGAAGGAGAGTATAATGAAAGAGAATACAATTATGTTTGATTAGATTTATAAGATTAACCTTAAGTGGAGGTATTAGGGGGTAGAGAGGAGACAGTAACCTAGCAATGAACAAATCTGAAAATGAATTAAGCGTGTATGGCAAGTGGTTACAGTGTGGAATCTATTTTACTCAGATCTTTCAAGTACTTAAAAGGACTATTTCCTTTGGAGTCTGATAATTGCAGTTACATAACCACAAGAGACAAAGTATACTGCAGTATTTAAACATATTTTCAAATACGGAATGTGTAAAATAGTCAGATCTAATGTGAGACTTCTGTTAGACCTAATTAAAGATGTACTATTTAACTTTTCTGGCCATACACCTGTCTCCATGGAGATGTTATGGCTTTTTCACAATATGGCATTAAACATTCATGGAAACAAGCAGATGTTGTTACCAGGCCAAGCTACGGGTCAGATCTGTGGAGAAGTGACACCATTCACAGTGAGAATACATACATGTTTTCAAGATATTCAAAACTGCGAGATCTATCAGTTTAACCTTAGATTGTGGAACATTTCTGGAAAAAGCAATAACATACATAAAACATAACCAGAAAAGTTACATAGTTTATTTTTAAGTAATATTTTGATATATTTTTAGCCTTTGTAAGTTGCACTAGTAAATTTAAGTATAACAGTTTAATTAGGCCAAACACACTGAGTAAATCAGTGTTAATATTCCCCAAAATATTGTTACACAGTTATCAAAGTTTTTTCTTATGTCATGCACGTCTACTTATAATGTATGAGGTGATAATTAAAAACAGTGGGATAGTGAGAAGAAATTCACACTTGTCATACCTCTGTTGGGAGACTCTGATTGGCACCATTCTCAAGCAGGAACTTCACTACTTCTAAATGGTTTTCCTGTGCAGCCATGTACAGGGGACTGAACCCTTTCTGTTAGAACAAATAACAAAAGACATAAAAATAGATAAGTAAACAAATATAAAATGGATATGAGTAATTGTAATTTGTATAGACTTACATGGGACTGTGCATTAACATTGGCACCATAGTGAACAAGTTCAGCCACCACTTTCTCCTGCCCCGCCAAAGCTGCAATATGAAGGGCTGTGTTTCCTTTCTGCACACATAACAAAAACAGAACAGAAACATGTATTTGTATCATTGCTATCATAAGCTCATATTTTCATTCTTTTACATTTGAATCAGTAAAGACAATACCTTAGTGGTGGCTTCAAGTTCTATTCCAGCGTGTAAAAGTTCCAGGACCATTTTGACGTGCCCTTCTTTAGAGGCCAGATGCAACCCGTTTAGACCATTCTGAAACACAGTGAAGATAAATACGCAACTGTTATCAGCGTTCGCATAATAGTTTCTTTGTAATTAATTACCAAGAATTTTGTGTAATTACTCTAAAGAAAAGTTGAGAGATAGCAGAATATGGCAAGGTCAGTTATATCAATGCAATTACCAGTGGAAGACAGTTTTTAATGAATATTTTATGAATGAATTTTAAATGAATGCATTCATAAACCCAGATTGCTTTGAAGGAAAAACTTGAAATTTCATTTTTAATTAGGATATATCCGTGCCTAAACTGTTAATGGACAAGATAAATACTCAAATCAGATTTCATATTTCAGAACAACTATTAGTCAGCAAGTCTCTGGTGCAACTGTAGGACCCATAATGAATATAACATTAAGGGACAAATCCTGTGTTTTACAATAAATAACATACTCAAGTAGGCACTGTGTCGAAACTAGATACTTATTGGAGCAAGTATCAATACAAGTGACATTCACAGGATAGAAAAGAAACCTTCCTGAACAGCTTTAGAATGATCTTCTGTATCACATGTATAAAACCACAAAGACTAGTATACACCCATGGACCACTATGGAACCTCCCTGGACGACTGAGGGATTACACAGATATAAGACCACATGGTAATATAAAATGAAGTACTATGATTTAATGTTGAAAATCACATTCTGTTGTTTATAGAAAGAGTGCTTTTTATGATCGTTGTGGTGTCTGAATGCAACACAATATACTTCATAAGCTTTTGACATTTGACAAAGGCTCTATCATACATTTTCTTGCACTACATTTGATTACATTTAAATATATTTCAACTGTGACATTTAATTTTGTAAAATAAACATCATAAGTGACAAAAGAAAAAGTAAAAAGAGAAATAGAATGCAGTTCACAGCCACTAATGGACAAAAACTAAAACCTGGTTGCAATAGCCTATGTGACCAGGAGGGGTCTCAGTTTCCCATGGTAAAAGCACCATCATACTGCAGTGTCACTCAATTCAAATGGATCACACAACCTCGCTCTGAGCATGCGCACTGTGCCAGGAACCTCACAGTGTACCAAGGGAGAGTCAGTGCATGTTTCACTAATGTACTACGGGATGAAAATGACCCAAAAATACTACCATTTATGTAATAAGCAAATAAAATGTAAATAAAAAAATTATGTTTAATAACTTAAGAGAAAGAAACACAAAATTATCGAAATACATTCAATAAAAATGTGAGTAAATTTAGAGACTACATTAGAGATAATTTGCCATAGCAGTGCAAATAGAATCAAGTTAACAGTCAACAATGAAAACATAATGCTTAAGTAAACTAAACTGATTTAGACAAGGGAAATTATTTGGACACAGTAGCTCACAGATCACAATAAATATAATAAATAACAAAAATACAAATGGTAACAATAAATTCTAAATAAGTAGCAAAAAAGACAGCAAGAGACAGGTGTCAAATAAGGCATTATAAATGTAAATGTACAAGAAAAAATAAAATAGAAAGGTAAGTAATAAAACATAAAATCACAGCTTTATACAGGAGGTCATGCAACAATGATATGTTGACTGACAGGACAGAGGGTTATCCATTACATAAGGGTTAGTTGTTGTACAGCTGTAGGGAGTATTATCTATTACATAAGGGTGAGTTGTTGTACAGTTGGATGGAGTATGGTATGAATGTAGTTTCACTGCCCCCGGTACACACCCTCTGCTCTATACTTAGCTCTACTTTGTTCTCCAGTTATATTTTCTTAATTGGTAATACAAATAGGATTCATTGTGTAGCAATTACTATTAGGGAATATATAAATATTATGACAAGTACTACTATTATTCTTACTACCAACTGAAATCAAATATTTCTTCTTCTTTTTATTACAACTGCAATATTATAAGGTGTAAAAAAATTAGTAGGACAATAGACTGATGGAAGTATAATCTAGGTTTTAATTATTAACGTGCACCACTTTACCCAAAGACAGAGAATTATGGGGGAGAGACAGTCATACATTTTTAATCCTCCTTTTGGTCTTTAATTTTACATCCCTGGCTAGAGCACCACTAGGAGTTCCCCTGTGAGTGCCATGACAGTGGGGGCTTATAAATGTGCTGTTTAAAAATTAGACACATTTTGTTGCTTGCTCAATAAATCATACAAGCTGACAGTGCAAGAAGTAAATTTTTTAATCAGCAAAATATTCATTCGGTCTTGTAGAAGTGGGGATAAACCAAGTGGCTGGTAAGAAAGCTAACTTAAAATAATATTATTTTTCTTCAAGCTATAAGGAACAAGAAATGCATGGTCCATAACTCAGGAACAAGTCACATATCCAAAACATTGTCCCAGAACATATGTAGTGGTTAAGTGGTTTCATATATATATATTTTAGATAAATATATTTTATATATCATTGGTTACGAACTGTCCTCTTACCTATAAAAGCTCACTTTAGAAATAAGGCATTCCTTCAGCGGAACTGTGAGTGCAATAAAGTTTGGAGGACATGTTATCAGCCATTTTGTGCACTGAGTCAGCAGTATTGATAACTCTCAGGATAGAGGGTTACATTACAACTCCAGTAAAGTGCAAAGGCACCATCTCGTAACTTTACTATCATCATTATAAAACAATACTTTGAGTTTTAACATGTATGTGCGTAGTGTATAAAAAACACTTACTTGATTTGCTAAGTTGATATTGATGCCATTTTTGATGTGGTCCAGAGCTTTGTCCAAGTTCCCTGAACGAGCTGCTCTCAAAAAGCTGGTGGCTGCATCCGCCTGTAGAGAAAATAAGCAGACATTTAAACCTAGAAAGAGAGGCAGCAATATACATGTTTGTATTCTAAATACAAAACAATACTGTATAGAGCTGTTGATGCAAGTAACAAGTAACATTTTATATCCACCTTAAATTAAGGTAGATGAAAAAAAGAAAAACAAAAAAGTCACAAAATATTATTCTGTAAATTACACTATTTAATATAATGTAAAAAATGAAGTTTTATACCACTTATTTAATACCGACTGAAGAGTAAACTCAGATCTTTCACAACTACTGTATGATTAACAATGAATGTGCAATATTTTTATGTCCAACGTACATAGAAGCAAGTAAAAAAACAAAACAAAAACATAAATTAAATGTGTATTTTAGTGTATATTACAGAAAGAGTGTATGCAACTGTACACATCTATAAGCGATAATGGACAATATGGATAGAGGTGAAAATGCAGCCTACTTCCTGTGAAGAAAAGACAGGAGGTCGAGCTGAAGATAACTGAACTCAGATGTTTTGGAGATAAAATGGGACGTGCTGGCTTGAGAAGGTTAGGACATACTAGAGCAGTGGGATCATTCTGAGTATATAATCTTTCTGTATGTGCTGCAGTAGAACAAAGAGGGGATTTATAGATGCAGTGAAAGACATGTTAGCCGGTGAGAGAGTATAGGCAGGATTAGATGGAGCCAGGTGATTTGCTGCAATGACCTCTGAATGGAACAGGTAAGGAGACAATAAAAAGGCAAAGAGGAAGTAGGCAGCAAACATATCACTACATTTTGCTGTCATCTAAACTGGGCTAACATGCTGTAGTTGTTGCTGTCTGCGCCCACACCTCCACCGCTCCGTGGCTTTGGCAGACATTCACAGGCGAGTATACATATTCCAGCCACAAGCTCCACTGTCTACTCTCCGAGGAACAGCCCCTGATGTTTGTACGCCCACCTCCCATTTCATTCATCAGCCCGTAGTGTAATATGTCTGACCTGCACAATGAGACGTCTCTTACTGCCCTGGAGGGAAAGAAACACACAACTCTACCAGTTTGAGCAGATCTTGGGTTTGGGTATTTTTTGACAGACTGTGATTTTGGTAATGTTGTAAATGGCCGATAGAGTCTGATACATTTACTTTAGACTTGTGTGAAAATTCTAACCCCAAGTCTATTTTTGCCAAAGCTTTTTGCCTTAATAAATAAATTGTTATCATGTAAACACTTGGTCTGGTGCGTGCAGCTTCAAAGGCAATGACTACATCAGCCTAGCAGAGCATCACTTTGAGTGTGAGTACCAAAAACTGGTCCCTCATGTGCCTCATCAAAACACATTTTATACACTAGCATAAAAATAGACAATGGACAAGTGACTTGCTTATGGACACAACAACAGCATGTACTGGCCTTAGCTGGGATATAACCACACACATTTAGATCAGTAGGCAAACACTATAACTATGTTTATGTTGTTGCAAAGATTGTTTAATACTGTAGAGTGAAGGGCTAGGTTAAACTTAAATCTCCACCTGCCATATGCCATATATGTCCCAGTTGCAAAGGTGTGGACCTTCTAAACATCTTCAATACAACATTCCAGCTGCTAAGCATCAAAGGATGAGATTCATTTTTCTCCTGACCTGATTTTTTCTCAGTCATCTCAAATCTTCATCTAAAATTCCTGCTTGAATTTTTCAGTTCCTCATAACAAAACTAGGCATTCTTCATACTCTATGTTCTTCTTTTTTAAGGCATCCCATTAGTGTGTGATCTGTGATCCATCTCGTTTTTACTTTGAAATTCAGAAGAGGGCTGAGAGCACAAAGAGACATCAAACAGATGGGATTCCTGACGGACTAGAGACTTTACCACTCTCTATGTGGACAGCATACAGAATAGTCCTTATTTTTGCATACAACTTGAAAAGGGATTGCATGGTCAAGAATATGACAAAAAAGTTATAAAATCATCCTTGTACTGCACAAGACTGATATTCAATGTTCAGTATTTACTAAGGATGTCACGATATCTAAATCTCTTGGTATGATATTGTCACGATATACATCTCAAAGTATGATATTTATTGTGCTTTTTTGTGGTGACAAACAAAACTGTGAATGTGCTACATTTTCCTCTTAAAATGCCTTGAGAAAGACTTTAAAAGTGCTTAAAACAGTTATGCCTTCATGTAGTCTGCACTGAAAATGGAGTAAAGGATCATGGTCTATGTAGTTCCCGCTGTTTTTTTTTAAGCTATTGCTGCACCATAACTATTCATTTAAACAAAGACACTTGTAATCCCATATATTGTGATAGTCCACAATATTACTGTGAAACCTTTGACAATACGATATCATGATATTTCTGTTATTCTTACATCCCTGGTATTTACATGCGCTGTAAACCCTTTGAGTGCTAAAGTGCTATATAAAATCGATGCATTATTATTATTATTACTAAAAACATCTTACTTACAAAAAAAAATTAATTTAATGAGCAAAAAGCAGTGTCCTTGGGCAAGACACTTAACCCACCTCATCCCCAGTGTTTACATATACTGGTGTATGAATGTGTGTGTGAATGGGTGAGTGGTTCCTTTGAGTACCCTGAAGGTGGAAAAATGCTATATAAAAACCAGTATACCTCCAGTATGCATATTTTTACTACAAACACTTGCAACTAAATGCCTGTGGGGTAAGTTTAATACAAGATTTTTCAATATTCTAGGACCCCATCACTAAAGTTAGATACTGTACCAAGAAAGGTACTCCAATGTATTTCGCCAAAGTCTGAAAAAGGGGTGAGCGATATAGCAAAAAATGTATATTCTTTGAGACAGATCATGGTTTTCTTGTTTTCTTTGTGTATTTTAGATAATTAAGGTAACTGTGATTGGTTCTATCCATCTGTCACTCACTCAGAGCATGACACAAGCTGACCAAAAGGATGAGTGGGTGGTAGAAACTGTCTTTGTTAGAGAATAGAACTGAATTCAACAAAAATGATTTTACCAAAATAACAGATCGTCACAGAGATGAGATGAACCCTAGTCTGAGCTCTTCTCCAAACAACATGCATTTACAGGCAGAGGATTCGTTGTAGAATCTTTGACTAAGACTGGATGTAGGTTCACTTCAAATTAATAATTCCACAGCCTTGGCCAAAAACATTCTATTTTCTGCACTGTCTGTCTGTTGCAAGTTTGAAGCATTTTACAGCACTGCAGTATCCGTATGTTTACTTTCAATAGTCTAAAGATACGTTTAAAATTCCAACTTTCCTTTATATCTTGTGTATTCTCCAGTTTCATTATGAAGTTTGTTTATGAAAAGCTCATTAAAAAACACCTGCTCCATTTGTCTTCCCCACAGACTCTGAGTTTTCTGTGTAGACCAGTTTGATGTGGACATTCATCATCTGCTAGTCTTTAGAATACGCTGAAGAGTGTGGCTGCCTGAAAATGTGTTGCAGAGAACGTCTCAGCTATCAGTTTCTTCTGTGATTCTATAAGACGCTTCAAGAAAATTGAATTAATAATAGATCAAAACGTTACACAACCAATTTGTCATGTAACGCTTGCTTCAAGTTAGTCTGTTACTGTTTCTATGTAAGCATTGTTAAGCAAAAAGTTTGTTAGATATCTCATTAAAGCTGCACTAACTAATGAAATCTACCTCTTATTTGTCTCTATGGAGATTTATTATCTTTGTCTGAAATGTTCCACAATATGGTATTAAACATATCTGTATTGTCTTTACTCAAGTGTTATTGCTAAAAAAAGACCTACGTTAAATCTTACAGTGATTAGGGTAACCTCTCCACTGATCTAACATGTAACTTGGCCTGGAGGGCGTAACCTGCTGGTCTCCATGAAGCTAGATAAGTTTAAAGTCACACCGTGGAACATTCAAGACAACGCACTAGTATCTTCATGGAGACAAGAACGTAGCAGAAATGTAAATAGTGTAGTATTTTTGAGAAGGGAACTTTAAAATTATAGCAGCAGAGCAGAGTAGAAAATTGTAAATTAAATCTAAACAGAACAATACTTTTGAAGCCATAACACAGATATCACAGTGAAGATCGAGTTAAAACCAGACAACTGCATGGCTACAATGAAAAGAAGCTTATTTTAAGAAAAAGTGATTTAACATAAAAATGGTCATGTACTGCAAGCCAGACTTTCAACAAACACGTCTTAAGAACGCAACTATGAGAGCCTCTTTTCATAGCAATTTTACATTTGACCTTGCTCTTGTAAACAATAGCTTGATCTGGGCTGTAACTAAAATCCAGTGACACTGAGCTAAATATAGTCCACATTTCAAGAAGTGCATAAGACCAAAGCAGCAAGAACAGTACACATCGTCTAAAAGTGATATGCCCTCATGGTTGTTCGGCCTATTATGAAATTAAACTTCAACATGAAAAACATTAAAAAGTAATATAAGTTATTCTTCACCTTACTTAACTAATGCATTCCTAGCATCCTAACAATTCACAGCAATGAGTTCATAAGCTCTTTTCACTTGCCTATATACTTACTGTTGTAATTGGCATTTGCTGATATTAGCTTATAAAATCTACAGTGCACAGCAAAGTTACGTAAAATTATAATGAAGTTTACAAATCAACTTTTGCAAAAACAATAACAAATCGTATTTATTTGGTATAAATTGATATTTTCGCTCATGAGTCTGTTCAAAAAGACAAATCTGAGTGACATATAGGCACACACAGACTAAAATCAAACCAAATATTGGCAGCATTTTCAATATTGGATCGATAATGATGTCTGGGGGGAATTCTATATCATCCATACTTTTATAATTTTAAAGGAGCACTGTGTAACTTTTCTGGTAGAGGGCCCGCCAGTTACTTGGTCTCCATGGAGGTGTTATTGCTTTATTATTTGTTTTTTTCTCCAATATTCCAAAGCAGAGCATTAAACTTGTCAGTCTCTATAGAAACAAGCAAGAGACGCCACAAAGCCATTTTACAAGTGA